GGATTAATGGATTTTTGAAGGTTCGAAGAAATAGTCAATCAAAAATTCGGGAATTTTAAGAAACTGTAGGCCCATTTCTTCAATGAAAACAATTATCGTCAATTTAAAATAAGCAATGCAAAGGAAAAATTACTACAGAATTACCAAAAATCAACAAAAAGTCCTGAATTATATGTCGTAAGCTACTAAATAAGCTGAGTGAAAGTTAAAAATAACAAGAAAAAATGGAAGCTGTTGGCTGGTCCGAGACAACCCCCATCAGCCCGAGAAAATTAGGGAATTCCCGGGCGAATGCTTCAGGATGACGTTGAGGAGAGCCCGAAGCTCTAGGAGACTCCCAGATCGATGCTCTAGGCCCTCCACAAGCGCGCGCTCCCTCCATCACCAGTACTCTCGTTCTCTCTCTTTTCTCTGATCTCTCTCCCAAAGCCGGACATAGACACACGCACACACACATGCACACACACCCACACGCCCTAACCTCTAACGCATGCTTCCGGGAGTAGAACCAGTGGCCGGGGTATTCGTGGGGATGAGAAGAGTTTGGTGGGACTGTCGCTAAAGTCGAGGCCAAAATTATGTTTGTTATCACAGATCTAAAACTACCGTACTACCTGAGGTGGCTGGTATCTTTTGAGAGCTAGTTCGTTAGCGGGGGAGGCGTTGAAGCTACCTTCCCGTTGAAGAATAGAAAAGAAGCTATGCCCTTTTTAACTCTAATAAAAAACTAGGAAGCACTGTGAAAACATTCGACGATTTTTTTGATGTGTTGATCAAGACTATATGCAGGATGATTAAAAATCTCCAAAATAAAGAAGTTTTTAAATTTTTAAATAGATTTTAGTAATACTACGATAACTGCGAAAACAGGATAATGGTTATGCTTTATGGCTGTCTAGGTTAAGCTCAATAAATGAATTTCGATCCACCTTTCTCACTAACCAGACACATTTTTTATGGATATCGACATCCCTCCTCTAAAATCATGAATGGAGCTCACACTGCCGGGAGCCAATATCGAAAATCGAAAAAAGTCGCACAAAAGGTGAAAATATTTACGCGGGCTGGTGGTGGTGGTTGGCCGGCTCTTCATCCCGGATATGTGGTTCATCTTGCTGTGGGCGGTACTCGAAATATTGTCCATCCAGGGACCAATGGCCATGCATACCCTGAAATCGGGATGGTGATGATTTCAGAATTTTTTTGTGAAGGCTTTACGAGGCTGAAAAAAAAAGAAACAAAAACAATACCGACCGAACCGAATGGCCAAATCGGGAAGTCCATGGTGTGGAGGGATTGTTTCTTCTCCTTCTTCTTGGGAAAAAGCTCTTCTCCGAGTCTGAAGATATCAAAAATGATAGAATCTGCTTACAAATGCTGTCTGCCGGTTTTTTAAGCGATTTGGGTCCAATTTTCAACCGGTTTTTGTAAAAAACAAGCGAAAATACGATTTTATCTGTTCTATCAGTATGTTGATTGCTACAACCATACGGTTCTCTGCGAGTACAAGGTTTGTCCCGTAATAATCACCGCCACCAATGCAATAAAATCTACCTCGTCTTCCGCCCCCAGCCCTCGTTGACAATGGCGGCCGGTGGGCGCTCTATCGTGCCGTCGTTTGGCTGATAGTTTATAGGGGCTGAATCAGAAGGAGGCGAGCAAGAAGAAGAAGAAGAAGAAGAAGATGTGAGCAGTGGAAGCGATTCGCCCGGGTGCCCGGCCACTCCATCGACATTTCGCCGGCCTCGATTCGCACGCCACATCGATATTCCGATAGCCGACGACGATGGGAATTCGCGGCGTCACGACGAGAACGGTGGGCGAGAATTAATGTGTGATGGTGTTATTGAGTGGATCGGGCAGCTTCTCGTCTCGCGTCATATGGCCGGCAGCGAGAAAATTTTAAAAACAAAGACTCATCATCTGCGGAGCGCGTTTTTTCCGGGGCCACGTTTTGTTTGGCGCTGATTTTGATCTTTCATTTTGTGAAATATACAGTGGGGCGAAGAGAGGTTTCTGCGTTAGACGAACAACTTGCTGGTCGATCATCACCTTGGTTTTTTCAATTTTCAAAAATTCCCGGGAAAAGGGGTGTTACGATGTGGCCCAGCATGTAAAGTTTCAGAATTTTAGGGAATTCGGAGAAGCGTTGCGGGAGATAGTTCATTTGAAAGAGCCTCTGTTTGGAGTAAGATTTGTTAATTGGTTTTAGTGCTCAAGGTTTAAAGATCCGCGAAATTTTGTAGGTACCCAAATAGGCCATGACGAGCTTTTTCAGCGCTCGAAAAGCTTCACAAATTTTTGAACCTTCTACAAAGAACTTTAATTAGCGAACAATTCGGCACAATCTGGAGTCGTTGCTTTTAGAAATTCCACGACACCCCTCGTATGATCTTGTAAATAGCGTATTTTGATAAACCGCATCGGCAGATCAGCTGTCTTTACTCCACCTTATGCCCTACAGATGGTCGGGATTCCGGGTGAGGCCATGAGAAAACAGACGAATCAAGGGAGCGCCTTTGAGGAAAAACGGGCTGCCCGGCCCATCCACTGTCAACAAGACCACACGATGGCCCTCATATACTAACTGCAGCGAGATTTTCCTCTGTAGCGCCTTGCACTGGTAATTTGTTACCTAGCGTAGCCCTAAAGTGTGCCCACCCCGATTATGCAGTCGCCATACCCCTGTTGAATCAACTATAATAAAAAAGTAGAGGCGTCCGTCTGTCTGTCTGTCTGTCCGTCCGTCGTGTCCCGGATTCAACTCGAAGGGGAAAGGAGCTAGAGCTTAGCTCTCTTCGGATTCGGATAGAGCGTGGTCAGAAACCCCCAAACTGATAAAAAAATTACCAAAAAGTTTTAGTTTAAATTACTAAAATTAACTTTGAAAGTTATTTCCTTAGTAAAAGGGGTGGGGGACGGAGGTTGGGGTGATTTTGGAGATAGTGAGCCAGGTCGCGCGCGTTTCGGCGATGAGGAGGGAGCGCAAGGGGGTAGCCCGAAGTCCAGCCGCTTGCAGCGGCGAAGCCGCTGTAAGCGGCTGGTATATGATAATGGATGTTGAGGGGCTGGCAGGCCCTTCATGCCTTCCAGGCATATTTGCTCTCTCCTCCCAGACACCTCTTCTTCTATCCCGGCAAACAGTCAGGGATTTCGATCAATTTTGGGTAGATTTTTGACCGTTTTTGTGCGTTTTAGGGCTTTGGCTAAGCGCTAAGGAAATATTCGTTTCGTTTCTAGCGAAATTGCACGTTTTTTCAGATGGTGTCCGCCAGCGATGCGGCTCTACATCGGGCCGCCAAAAAGGGGGATCATCGCCTTGTCCGTGTGCTGCTCGATACAGGAAAGACGTTTCCGGATTGTGCTAATGCGGTAAGTTTTCCTACGTTTCATCTCTATTCTGAGTTGGGCGAACTGTCGGCGTTTGATCTAGCTGTTAGATAAAAATTTAAAAGATAAGCAATCGCCACTTTTCATGGTTTGGCACTTAACTTTCCCGTGCAGGACAGGCATTTATTTTTGTTTTTACACCTTGCAACAGCACTCTGGCCCATTATTCCTTTAAACCAGTGGCCGCAGTGTCCACTCCAAAGATCCCCTCCACAAATTCTCGAGTGGCTCGCACACCTCTGTCTCTGACCGCCTATGTACATCCTCACCCGCCAGAGGCGCGTCCGGAAATGATTTGCTTCTCGAAAAGTATTTTCTTAGAGCCCAACTTTGTCTGGATTTTCGGTGAAACCAGATTCCCCGCTTTCTCCGCCCATTTCTCCCATATTCGTCTTCTCGATGTCCTCCCATAAAGTTTGATTGGCTAGACGGGGGTGCCGGCTGCGACGCCATCTTTCACCTACGCCATTTTTTGCTGGCTTTCCCCTCAATTTGTTTTCCTCTAGGTTTTCCTAGCATAGAACGGATATAAACCCTAGCTCACTAAATTTTCAGCCCGATAACAATGACGCTGGCTAGGGGGCTCACGCATCCAATGGCCGCGTTTCGAGCCGGTCCCCCGGGTCCGGGAATTGAGATGCAAATGGGGTACGGGTGGAGGTAGAGAGTCTGTTTGTCTGTCTGTCTGTCTCACACTCACAAACCCTTCCCCGCGAATGGAAATGGAGGGATTAGCCCCCGCGCACCGCTGAGGGCGAGCTTAGCGAGCGGCGAGGTTAGTGAGGAGAGGTAGAAGAGTATCATTTCGCCCATGTGCCAACCAACCCCAGGAAATTAAAGGCAGCCCACCCCCCTCTAATTATCGCCTTGTTAACGTTGCATTCGCTAGTGCACCCGAGCCCCCCACTCATTCGGGGGGAATTGTTGATCCCTTGTCCCCTGGGGAACGTCATTAAAGGGACTGGGAAGGTCGGCGGGATATGGCGGATTGGCAATTGCTGTTTTATGGAGCTAGAAACAAAGTAGGTAGAGGTTGAGGTTTTTTCCGCACCTTTTCGCAAGGACTTGCTATCAAAATGTCGAAAATTATAATGTCGAAATTCAGACAAGCCTTAGCCTTGGCAAGCCTAACAAATATCTCTACTAGCCTTGCAAAGTGAGCTTATTTACGTTTTTAAATCGCTTTTATTACCAAATATACGCCACCTTTATTCAAGGGTTTCAAGCGGAATTAGGCCCTCAAAACCTCCTGGTCTTCGGCACTCCCGTGGAAAAAATCCGGGTCATGCTTGCGTATGAGAAACAATCCGACCCGGAGGTTTCCCCCCGACATCCTGTTATTTGTTGTACATTGTAGATGCTGGTTCGGCTTTTCCTCCCTCTTCCCTTCCCCCCATCCTCGGCATTGTTTGTATAATCGACAGCTGGCTGTGTGTGTGTGGGTCTGTGGTTACGTTAGCTGGTTCAATTCTATTCTCTGCCCCCCTTCTGGCGGTGCCAAATTCATTCCGGCATTGCCAGCTGTCGAATTTGCACGGTTCTCACCACCTTTCCCGCCGATCGACCTTGTGATTTTATCTCGTGCTGGGAAAGGCACAAGACCGGCCGAAAGTGCCACATAACTTTCAAAATTTTGGTTTGTATAATTGGAATTAGAGATTCCTTTATCTTAAGTAAATTCCTGTACTTTTTTCGACAAAGCTTATTGCTTAATTTTTTGTTTGCTAATAATACGCTTAACCGGAGGTACCTTATTGATCCTATGCCTCGATCCGTACACGGGCAAGAATCTATCTGTTTGTCAAGTCACGGGCCATTTCCCCCGCGGCTTCTCCCTAGCCTTTGATTGTGCTGCCCACACGCAGCCTATCACTTTTTCCGAGATTGTACGACAGATCCCCGCTGTAGCTCGATAAAACCTACTAAACATTCCGATTTCTCTACCTTTCATTCCTTACTTCTAGGGCTCTAATACCTTTTTTTTGCAGGATGGAGTAACCCCACTGATGCTTGCTTGTCGAGGAGCACACGCCGAAACGGCAAAGGCTCTACTGGCCGAGGGTGCCGATGTGAATGCACGAAATGTGGTTAGTTGTGAAAACTGGCAAACTTGACATTTTCTAGGCCGGCTCCTCCGCACTGCTGTGCGCTTTGGAAAGTGGTGACCAGGAATCTGTGGAATTGCTATTACGTCAGGGGGCAAGTGTGAATTTTAGGACCAAGGTGAGCACCAACACGTCATTTTTTTCTGGAATAATCAGTAGATTTTAATAAATCTAGTTGTTTTAATACCGAGATTTGTCTATGGATTGCGATAAATGACCGCTTGGGCGCCAAAGGCCTATTTTTTCCCCAAAAAATATTTCTTTGTTTTTGGATTTTGGGGACTGGACCAATTTGTTTAAACTTTTAGGTAGTAGCCCGATGTTTCGGTCGTCCACGAACATCCGCATTATGCCTTCCTAGCCTCTTTAAAGACCAGCTTTGCAGGATGGAGGCAGTGCGCTCCTCTGCGCCGCGGAGCGGGGGCTCGATTGGGCGGTGCAGTTGTTGCTCAACTGCGGGGCGGACAGGAGCGCGACCTTAGCCGACGGGAGTGATGGGGTATTCCTGGCCGCTCAGAATGGGCACGATAGTACCGTATGCCTGTTGCTCGATGCGGGATGCCGCATCGATGGGCAAAGACAAGTGAGGGAGCATTTGAACTTTTTTAAATTCAAGGTTTAGGACGGGGCGACGCCGATGTGGATCGCTTCGCAATGCGGTGAAGCTCGGGTTGTGGATATGTTGGCGCGCAGGGGTCAGTCTTCAGAATTGTTGCTTTCTTTTTCCGTCTGAAAAACTGGAAAAACAACGAGTCAAACCGTAGCAACTCTATACTTTAGGGGCCCGCGACACACCACGGAGGGACGGTGCCACCGGGCTCTTCAAAGCCTCCCATAAAGGGCATCGGAGGGTGGTTGAACTGCTCCTGGAGCATGACCTGGGCGATGTGGGCCTTTTGAGTAATGGCGAGTCGGCCCTACACGCCGCCTCACTGTTTGGGCACCTCGAAATTGTGCGATTGCTTCTGAAGGAGGGCGCCGATCCGGTTTTGTTGAACAAGGTTTGTAAATTTTTGTATTTATCATAGTAGCACAGAAAGGTCACTGTGCCGTTAGAAAGTAAAAATGTAGCATTTAGCACGGCGAGACCCCCCTAGAACTGGCCAACCAGATGAAGTATGAAAAAATTGCCGAGCTCCTTCGTCGGCATCAAGACTATTATTCCTAACCCCTTGCCAAGTCAGCCAAACTATCCGTGTTTTTTGTATAGAGCCATATAAAGCATGAATTTATAACATAACCAATTAAAATTACATAAAATTAATCGAAGACAGAAGAGAGAGAGAGGGGAGATGGATGGAGAGAGAGACAGGGAATCCGGGGGAGGAAGGCCCAAATATAATAATAAAATTACGAATGGTGAGTGGGCCGCAAAAAGGTGGTGAGAAAGAAAATCGGCATTGCTGTGTTGTAATTGTAGGGATGGATGGGGGTAAACGAGTGCGTACGCGCGTATGCGTGTGCTGGGTAGATAAGACTCATATAAATAAGTTGTGTGATCGTATATCCACGGGAAAATCAAGTATATCAACGTGACAAACGGTTGGCGCAAGCTTCTTCTTGGGGCTTCGCTAAGGGTGCACGGGACAGCTGGAGCGGAATTTGGTTTTGAAATAATTTTCAAAAACTTGGTAAAGTCAGGGCGATACGGGGAGTACAACGCCCATACCTGCCACCTCTACACTAAACTAGCCAAATTCCCACTCCAGCACAGCCGCGTAGACCTTTAGCAGGCTTAAAATTGCAAAATGTGCAACATTTGGGCAGAGCATATGGGAGATATTTTCTTCAGAAAATTGCGGTGAGTTTCGCGGGGAGGGTACTCGGTTTATCGGACGGACGGGCAAATTCGCGAAACAGCGGGCCAAGGATAGTGGGTTATGTGTGGATTGCAGCTTCAGCCGGTGGATCAACACCAGAGAGAGAGAGAGAGAGAGAGGGTGGATGGGAATATCGACTAGAAATATTACGAGGCAATTATCCGACCTTTACGAGGGTTCCGTCGGTTGGGCGGGAGCGATGGCATGGTGGGATTTTTTGAGTTTTCACGTGGGATGCTCGACGTTTTCCATCACCACCATCCCCCGCTCAACCGTTATTTAGGCGGGGGAGACCAAAAACTTGATATATGATCGGCCATTTAAAATTATCACCTAGAAAAACGTTGGCTGATCGTGTAGAAACGGGGTTGTAAGTTTTGTGGTAGTTTGTGTAATTCCGGCAACTCGCTGGCCCCATTTCCACACGGCAACTATAGTCGGATTGGGGGAAGCGAGAGGGGTCGTCTGGTTTCTGATAGTGAAAAAACATTACTTTACGAATTGAAGCGAGCCCGGGGCTACGGCCACGACTGTCGACGGGGACAATGTGAGGGGGAAGGGGAAGAAAAGGGAGGAGGGGAATAATAAATACTCCAGACGGGGTTTGAGCGGACATGGCCTCAAACAGCAAGTCGGGAGGCCGAAACCACAAAATGAAGCGAATAGAAATTACAAGAATTAATTAATGCGAAAAAAGTCGAAAAGGGAAAAACACCACGGACGCGCAAATTCGGAGAAAATCGAAAGTCGAACGACGAGAACACACACAATACAGGGCATTTGCGACGGGGCTGGGTGGGGGGCACAACGTGTTTTTCCGGGGCGTCATTTTCCGGACCGTGAAAACCGGGAGCTTGCATTTTAAAGGGTGTACCAAGGTACCGTACTCCCTTTTTCACGATCCATGCTGCCCCAGAGCAAATTCGGGGGACAAACCGATTTTGGCGCTTTTTGGGGGATGGTGGGGACAACTCGGAGGAGTGTTGGCAATTTACCACCAACCTTTTGTTGCCAATCTGCGAGGGCACAATTTGGGGAGACGAACACGCGCACCGAGGCAAAGACAGACGGCATGTTGTGGGGGAATGGTGCCCAAATCGACGGACATCGGCTCATTCGAGAAATTTTTGCAAAAACATCGAAATAGGCGTAGGCTCAGAATTACCGAAATACGAAATTTCTCGAGATCAGCAGATTGCCAGACGACAGGGCCAGCGAGCGCATGGAATATGCGTGACTACGTGGTGCGCTGATTGAATATCGACGAGGGGGAAGACGGGGAGGGAAATGTTGCGCAACAATGGATGGCAGGAAATGTGTGGTGATGTGACGGGGCGCCAGAAGACGAAGGCTTCTTTGCGCTTTGACCGCTTCGGGAGGGGGCACCATCTGTAATGGTTTAATTAGTTGGTTTATTATTAGAGCGCATCTTCAAGCGTTAATACGTATACACCTAATTACGCAGAGTTAAGGGCTACTTTTTTCCAAACATTGCAGAGCAGTGATTTTAACTTGAAAGCTTAAGAAAAACACTCTAAGCACTAGCTACCACAGCACAAGAAGCATATCCAGAGTTAGCAATTCGTACCACACCTGACGAAATACGCAAAGTCGTAGCACAGCACACCAAATTCAGCTTGCCGTAAATAAGCAAACTCGCGCTGTTTTGCGTTAAATGGAGCATCAAAAATTCGGCCAAGCAAACTGAACAGCCGTTCCAAACTGAGGAGAAGCACCCAACATAAATGTTATTTCCTTTCTTGCTGCCGCGAAGCACTCAACCAAATCGCACATCCTTTATTATGAGGGGTGCAGCACAAATCAAGATGTAAAAAAGTGTTCGGTTATTGACGCATATCAACGTAGTATAAACATGGGAACAGCTGCACAACCACAGACAGTATATATGCCGGGCGGAGGGGACAAGAATTCGGGGGGTGATGGTGTCGATGATGAGGGCGGGGAGCTTCTCATGGGCGCGACACGCACAACACAACGTGCACGAAATACATAATGGATGGAAAAGCCGAGAAAATATAAAATGGCGTTGTGTAGATGGTGAACGGGGTACCAGACAGACGAAGACTCTTTTTTTTTGCTCTTGGACAATGCGTACCCGCGGTTTCTAGTTCCAGATCTTGAGGAAGGAGTCCCAGGAACCGGTGCACACGGCCATTCCGTCTTCCGTAACGCCCAAGCACGAGACGCGGTTGTCGTGGCCGGCGAGCACACCTGAAAATAGATATGATTTTAAAAACCCAAAAAGCCATTCGCCATTTATTTGGATCACGTTCGGATCATTCATTCTTCAAAGGGTCCTTTGCTGTTTCCAGGGGACGGGGAAGATTTTTCTAATAGATATATAAAAAAACTTAAAATATAGATTTAACTACCAAAATTTCAAGTCGTGAAGGGTTTTTCCAAATGACTTCTCCCCAGGAAAATGGCTCAATTTTACCAAAGAGACTAGAAAAAGAGTCGCATTGCGTTACTATAGAAGTCCGCTCGCCCATGGAAATCCTAAATAATCATCTTGCATAACTATCCCGAAGCTATACTGTCAGCGGAATCCGCCAAAAATGCTAAACTTTCGACCTTTCCAGCACCAGCAAACTTGCCCTTCCCCCCGGTGGGGTAAATAATGGGATCCCAGGGGCGGCGCCCTTCTCGAAATATCTACCGGGGCTCCTGCCAAAATTGTTGCGTCCATTAAGCACCAAACGCCTTGTGTGCGTTTGGATACGCTGCTGCCAAAATTACCCCAAGGCCCCGGGGGGTGCGCCCTGCCCGCGAATCAATTTCCGGCCCTCTCGGCGCTCATTTAGGCAACGGGGGCCCTCCGGGTCCGTTTTAGAACCCGGATACGCGAGCGGCCATAGTAAACGAACGTAGGCGCCCCGGTAATTTATCTTCTTCCCCGAGGCAGAACAAAGAAAACGCACCAGCTCGTTCTTGCCGCATCGAGTCCCAGACGTTGCAGTTGAAGTCGTCGTATCCGGCGAAGAGCAGACGGCCCGACTTGGAGAAGGCAACTGAGGTGATGCCTGGAATGGGAATGAATTACAATAGGCCGACGAAGCGCTATTTACCGCAAATGATATTGTCGTGGCTGTACATGGCCAATTCCTGGTCGGCGCGGATGTCGAATAGCCGGCAAGTTGCGTCGTCGGAGCCAGTAGCAAAAGCGTGGCCCGAGGGGAAGAACTGAAATTCTAGCATTAATGACCTCGACAAATGATTTCGTGTTCAACGAATGACGCTTTATAATGAGGCAGAACGGCTGACTTGAAAAAAATGCTGAAACACCCACCGCGACAGCATTGATGTCACTTTCGTGTCCGGGGAATGTCTGCTTGCACATTCCGTCTCGAATGTCCCACAGCTTGGCCGAAGCGTCGCAGGCACCTGGAATGTGACAGTGAGGAACGTTTCTCTTGTTTAACTCTAATTTTAATTACATTTGTTGAAACCCCCGATTTTTAGGGATTGCTTAAAAATTCAATTTGGGCATTTGATAGGGTCCGTTAAATGCTCTTGAGCGCGTATTGATGCCAAGGGTTCCGTTTCTGAAAGGCGCGCTCATTACACAAGAAGACGATGCTCGCGCGTGCGCTTCAACAACCGGGAATTCGGTGAGCACCAAGTGATCAGTCTTCCACTGCCCTTCTTCAAAATTCTTTCCGGTTCACGCGGCATTTCGAAAAAAAATCGAAGCGAGATCGTGATGATTCCAAACGGCGCTCCTCTAGGCGCCGATGTGAGCCTCGGTGGCCTGGCGCGCCTCTCCCCCAACGAGAATATAATACACCATGGTAACCGGCGGGCTTTGTTAGGTGCGGCGTGCCGAGGGCCCTCAGGCTAATGCCTCAGTGGTCACACGATAACGCTAATTAGCTGCAAATACAACGTACGGCGCCCCCCGCCCCAGGAGACGTGGACGCCCCGGGAAATCAGGCCAGGACCGGGGATTGACGTCGCAGCCACCATATTTACGCCAAAAATGGAGAGGCGCGATTTTCGTCAATATCAAAATGGGCGCAAAAACAAACCAGAAATGAAGGTGCGCATGTCGGGCGACAGGGAGAGCGACATTACGTCTCCGGTGTGTCCCGTGAAGGCAGTGCATTGTTGACCCGTCTCGATATCCCAAAGTGCGCTGAAAAAAAACGTGTAAAAAAGCTTCAAGTTAAGCGTTAAATAAAATTTTAAAATCTCATGTAAGATAAAGCTATCCCTGCAACTTCTTTCCCTGGGTGTCATATTCAAAGTGGTAATAAATCTTTTGTAAATGGATATCCCTGCAACGTCTCCCCTTCAATCAACGACCCATAATCCACGCCAAGGGCTAAGTTTTGTTGTGCCTCCGGCCTCCTCTAAGCTAAAGAAGAAAACGGGCGGGGAGACGGCTTTCGGGTGGGCTATTCCCAGAGGGGGGCCCTGGGGGGAGCCGATCTGAAGTAGGTTAGGCTGGGAAAGTCGAGAAGAACAAAACGACAGCCCCCTATTCTGCGTCCCGTACTCAAAAAGAGGCCTCTCGACGCTTTTGGAAACGAGATTTTTGTAGCACCGCTACAAAGCTACATATTAGCAAGATTGTCGAGATCAGGAAAATCAGGAGCGGTAGGATTTGCTAGCTACAATAATTGATTAGACTATTAGCTATCGAATCATATCGTACTAGCCAGAAAAACCACCGAAATAAACTCACCAAGTCATATCTCCTGACGAAGTGACAATCTGGTTATCATCCAAGAATCGGCAGCACGATAAATATCCGGTATGCCCGGGCAGCTCACGCGATACCCTCACATTGCCTTCCCGAGTCTGAAAAAATGCGATTTGCAGCCAGCAAGGAATGGCTTACCTTCAGAGAATAAATTGAGCAGATATTGTCAAGGCCACCGCAGGCTACAAAACTTCCCGACGGCGCGTACGCACAGGTCATCACCCAGGAAGAACGAAGCGGGATGGCGTGAACCTGGAAAAGAAAGTTGTAAAAGTGTTCGACCTTGCTAGCCGCCAAAAAAAAATCAATGACCTAACAGAAATTCGGTTGCTATCGATTTGCACAAAAAAACTGCAGTCCGAAATTCTTCTTGCCGTTTTTTACCATAGGCGCCCAAGAGACCACGCATACCTTATTCGTCGTGTACGAGTCCCAGACGATCAATTTTCCGTCTTGTGAGGCCGAGACGAGGTTTCGTGAATCACTTGCCCAGTGCATCGCATATATCTAAAAGAGAACGTAGATGCCCACAAAAATTGCGCAGACCTTTGCAAGGTGTCCCCGGAGGGTACGCCGTGTGCGCATCTGGATTCGCCCGATCGGGTCGAGGTTGGCGGCGACGGAGGCGAGCGTCGTGTCATTGGCAGCTTTTCTGGCTTCCTGAAAGAAAAAGGTTAAGGTTTTACATAAACGACGATACTCATGCTACCAGTCACACGTTTTCCCAACCACAAATCACACGTTTTTTTGCCAAGCTACTTCCTTACCCCAACCCTCCCCACCCCCCGATTACTTTCAACGAGTCCCCCATTTCCGCGTAGAGCCCAAAAAAGCCCGCATGTACTGCTTCCTGTTGCTTATCGCTTGCCCCCCGCGCGAATAACGAGCCTAATAAAGGGGCTGGGATGCCCCAAGCGACAATCCACCAATTTCATCCCTAGTCGGTGGCCCTCCGAGTCCCTTCTATGCGGCCGTCCTACACGAATCGCGTTAACAAGGGCCAATAAGAAGAAGGGCCGCCGTCGATAGGGAGGGATCGTTTATATGGTGGGCGCAGACTATGTGGCAAACATCACGGGGCTTTTCGTTTCTTGGCAATCTGGGTATTTTTCGTGCAGTCTGGTAAAGAAGGTATTTTTCGGCGCCATGCATTTGTGGAAGAAGATGAAACGGTACGCTCATTTAAAAGCAGGTAATGAATGAGCCTTTGACGACTACAAAAGGGCTTGATCGCTATCAGGGATTAAAATTATAGCTGGGCGACAAAACCCAGGCCCTTTTCTTAGCGTTTATCTGCCGGGTTCTGGTCCTAGTATTAGGGAATAAAAATATAAATATCCCTCCCCCCTAAATTAGCCAAAGCAATATTCCATCAGGGCCTTTTGGAAAATAACCTTCCATAAAATTTAAAAATCCGAATCCCATTTTCCTCATTGAGGCTCCAATGCAGGGCACAGGCCATCCCCGGGGCATTCCCGCCACCCGGCCATTATCGCAATCACTTATTCATCCCCTTTCGGATGGCCGGTGCTTCTCATGGTAGCTGCCCTGGATGGTGAGGCTCTTCTCCTGCTCCCCGTCCGTTTCCTCCTCCCCTCCCCTCTTGGTTGTGTGTTCGAAATGGGCATCGAAGGAGGGGCGGCTTGGCTGTGGTGTGGGTGAGGGAATTGAGGTCCGGGGAGGGGGAAGGGCACGACGGCGGTGTCCCCCGAGAGACCGGCGCCCTCCGTATGTTTCTGGCTGGGGCTGTGGCCGTGTGTGTATGTTTGCGTGTATGTATGTGGGTCGTCGTCGGCGAAAGGGGCACATTAGGAGCCGGATGCCTCTGGGCCTCCTCCCGGGGCCCTCTCACTCGGTGTCCCCTCCCCATTCCCCCAGCCTGGGGCCCCAACTGGCTCTGGCCACAGCCCTCCCCTCAAACCCCGACGAGTGCCCGTTATAAAGGAGGAGAGCGCAGATGGTGGGGCCGATCGATGGCCCGGCCCGTATCCCTTCTCACAGCCACCGAGGCGAGGACGGGGAGGGCCCCAGGGCCCGCCCTGGTATGCGCGATGGGGCCCAGCCATAGAGAGCCAAAGAAGGGGCCAGCAACGGGCCCACAGCCCAATGCACACCCTAAGATACGATCGAGCCCCCCTGCCCGCCTTGGGCCGCGAATAAACAAATTGGATACGCGCGCGCGCCCCGTCGGGGGATCGGGGCAATTTGTCGGCGGCCGGATTGGGCTGGGAAAGGCAGCGTTTTCGTTGGCGCCACAAGGCTCGGCTTATGCGTGAAAGAGAATTATGCGCCGGGAAATTAACCCGTGAAATGAGATTGCGAAAATGGGGTTAGCCGGACAAATGGGGGCGGAATGATGGAACGGCTTTGGGGGTCGCTGCCCAATATCGCACACAAGCTAAGGCTTTTCTTCATCCCCCCGGTTCCAACCCAAAAACCGATCAACCAAAAAACCCCTGTTTCTACACCGCGCCAGCACCAGCGAAATTCCCGAAATTCCGCGAACCCTCGCAATGAACGAGCGCGAAATGCCAAAGCCAAGCCTGCCAGGGGGTAGACGGGCAATTATCCTGAAGACGCAGACGCGGATTTGGAAATAGCCTAATTGCTGCTTATGCATGACCGCACGCATCCAGCATTCGGTAGCGGGGAACGAAATTGCGTAATAAGAGTGAGCTCGTACAAAAAATGCCCGGGGATCGCGAGCATAGGGAAAACCAAGACCTAGGCGCAATTTCATCTGACCCAAAACCGTTCAAAAAACTACCCAACAACGAAACAGGAGGTCCCGGACATAACGTGGAAACGAAACGCGGATATGCTGGTTTTTCGAAAAACGACTGCAATAAAATCAAAGCGAGGCTAACGTACCCGAATCTGGCTCTTCAACTGCTCGGACTCCTGCCGCAACTGGTCGAGCTCGCTCATCGTTGCTGGCGGTGGGGCGGCTGGTGGCCGTCGTTCAGATGACGTGGACGGGCCGAAGATGCTGTGCGGCCGCTAGCGCGCTCACACCGGGCGTCTTCTGGACGATATCGGAGGGGGTGAAGGGCAAGCCCACGCACGCGAAAAATGTGTTGCTCCCCAGAAAGACAGCCTCCAGCTGGACGTGGCTTCTGAAAGAAATGGGTTAGGGGCGTTTGAATGGTGAATAAATGAAGAGAAAACAAAAATGGATAAAGGTCGAGGGTGGAACGAGTATCGCACGAAAAGCGGCGATTTGATGCAGGGCGAAGCCGAGATGAATAAGGTAGGCCCGGAAGGGGTTGAGGGTCTGGTAGAAGGGCAAAAGCCGCATCAAACGATGGGCAACACGAAATCCGATGGGTCAAATGCAACACATTCGCGCGCGAAAAGGGGGGCAGCGTTTCGGCCCAGGCTGGGGGGCACAGCACTGCTGCCCGCATCGATCAAAAGGGCTCCGCAACGCGGGCGCGACGCGTTACGCAGCGCCCAACGGGCCCCTCCGGGCTACTGCTATGAATACCCGAATCAACCACCTCAGACCCCCAGGCCAACCGAATGGGAGAGCACCCTCGGGGACCAAGCCCGCACCCACCTAGCCTCATCGGGCTATTAGAGTGATAATGGAGATCGCAAAAGGTATAAGAGTCAAAGTACAGACTACAAAGGCTGAGAAGGCTCAAAGGAGTCGAAAAAGGCTCGAGAGTTCCGAGAAAAACAGCATAAAAACTTCAAACTAGTGGGTTCTAACCGGGATTAGGATTAACGATTAGACAACAACAAAGGTTTGGAACGTTAGTTGTTTACCGTAGGATCCTTAAAAACTTTACAAATACCAAAACCCAATAATTTCAAGAACTTGAGAAAAGCAAGTAAAAGCGTGTAGGCCGTCATCATGGAACTGCCGTTTAGCCAGAATATATCTTAGAACATAGAGTAAGCTTTTGCTAATGGCGAAACCTCAAAATCCTCGGGAATGTCCGAAAATATTGCGAAATCTAGCCACTGGTGTTCTGGTAACTGGTGGATCTTAGCCGAGATAGAATAGAATTGGATTTTAGAAGAATAATACATGTACATTATAAAAAAGTCGAAAAATCTTTGCTAATCCCAAAAACTAAACATAGCTTCCTCCAACTGGCGGAATGTATTGCGAACGCTACGCCAAAATACAAGAAAACGACTACATCCCGAAACAAATGACATTCCTTTAGCATCCTAGAGCGATATTGTCGATCCCGAGCTTTTGGCCGATTGAGCGATAAAATCGTAAGTTTTAGATTTTTAAAGAAAGAAAAAGGAAAGGGAAAAGGAAAAGCCGTTTTGTGTGGAAATAAATACAGCATCGTTTAAAACGAGTGATTAAAAGCATTAGAAGCTGCTATTCCTGCAATGCAATACAGTTTTCGGTCAAAATTGGTTTTGCGTAGATTTTAGAATGCGCTCAATCGCGTATAGTTTGACTCGATGTGGATGCTAACATAACTACGTGTTTCATTTACGCTTACTATAATCACCCTACGATCGAGAATGGACATTATTTAATGTCTTTTTCTCGTTTCTTTCGAAACTAACCAATTTAAACTGGAAAATGCCTAGATTCTAAAAAGTAGAAGTTTTTCGGTGATAATAGCGGGGCGCTGTTAAATCGCTGATTCGATAGAACTTGAAATTCTGACCAAGTCCCATCTTTGAAAAACTGCGCAACGATAAAAAAGGTTTTTGGAGACAAGGCTAACATCTTGTCCAGGGCCGTCAAAATGAGCAAAATCGGGGCGAATCGCACACACTGTGAGCGAATTTCCTCAAAAACCAGTTTTTCTTTTAGTTTTTTTTCGGACGTGATACTTGTTTAGAATTTGAAGCACTATCGAATGAGCTATGTCAAAACTTCATGATGAACTAAAAAACAGCTCCAGCTTGTTGATCCTCAACGGGACAAAGCCAAACGCACTAACGCACGCACGTCAGCCATCAACCCCGATCCACCGGGCGACAAATCTAAAAATTAACGCCAAACCGTCAAATCCCTAGTCGCGAAAAGCGTCGTCCATCGGAAGGGGCTCATTAGAGAATTTCCGGTGGACGGCGCTGCCCCGTCTCGGCCACAATATGCCATTATAACCCCGGGGAATACACGGCGGCTCTCCATCCAAAATCCTCTGCCCTACTGACACGCAAAAAGCGTTGCTTCACAAAGAACCTGCGCTGATCTGGAGACGGTATTCGCGTAATTGGAAAGTGGGGTTGGAAATTGGAAGATTGGGCCCTAGAGGAGAACGGGTCTTAGGCTTAGCTTAGGCTTAAGCTTTCAACTTTCTCGATTTAGAAATTCTGATCGCAAATCCAACTTGTAATGCTCGAACGGCCTTAAACAGTAAGATTTTTAGCGGAGTATTTACGTAATAAGCTTTATACTCGGCAGTTTAAAGTATTAGAAGCGCCCAAAAACCAACATTTTTTGTTTTTTTTCTACCTATTTTTTTCGGGTCGGCTTAACAACAAGTTGCTTTTAAGAAGCTTTTTCTGCAAGACCGTTACTATTCAACAATTTTTAAACCCTGGGACTTGTTTAGAATTCGGAACTCTTTTTCCACGAGCTGGGCCACACCACAAAGCTTCATAAAACCGACTTCTTGAAAGCGGCGTACGCGTTGCGTATCTGTAGCGGCTACTTCTCTGTCCCCTTTAAGAGTCACAGCCTCTCAATAACACCTCAACCCCACACAACAGGTTGGTTCGAAGGTGGTTTCACAGTTAATTGTTTCGCATGAAAGTCAAGGCGGCGATCAAAACATGTGAGCAAGCCGATTGAGAGCCATTTAAAGGGACCGGGAAGGCAGGGAGTAACGCTTGCTCCCCGAGAATGATGAAGGACGGCTTCACCGGCGCGTCCCAGACACGGATAGCCAATCAAAGTTTATGGGGGGACATCGAGGAGACGAATATGGGAGGGAGGAGGGAAGGTTGGAGGGATGATATGTATTTCTTGGGAATCCTGGGGCTTTTGGACCTTTGCGGTAGAGCTCTACAGGGTGGCCAGAAAAAAAAGTGCCTGGTTTGCACTGAAATATCTCGCTAGAGGAAACGAATCGAACCATCGTTACCATGCCAGAATGCTTAAATATGCTGGGTATGAAGAATAAACACAAGTTACTTTTTACGATTTTTCGATTTTCGTTAAAAATTTTTGAACATTTTTAAAAAAGTAGAAAACTTTGAAGACGAAAATAATGGAACTTTTAATGACTTAGCCGGACATAAAGGGTATCAAAATGAAGCTCTTGACATGCGCTATCAAACCTATGTTAAAGAATTTTGATCGGTTTAACTAGTCGTCAATCGGAGCGTTCGGAAAATCCCGACTTTTTCAGAATGGCCGATTCTGAATTGACCATAGAAACCGCATTGACGCCATAACTTTTTGTACTTGTTAAATGTAATCCTAGTTGCCAAAGATAACCATGTTATAGTTTTAACTAAAACAGCCTAGAACTTCCAAATTCCGTCGACTTGGCAAAATGCCAAAAAATTTTTTGATTGGGATTTTATAAATGTTAATGCCAAAAGTTAGTAGTTACATAGGTATTGCTAACTGCAAATTATCAGAAAGATCGGATGGTAAGGAAATTTTATCTAGAATGATTTCTCCAAAAAGTCGCGATTTTCCGAACGCTCCTATTGACGACTAGTTAAACCGATCAAAATTCTTTAACATAGGTTTGATAGCGCATGTCAAGAGCTTCATTTTGATACCCTTTATGTCCGGCTAAGTCATTAAAAGTTCCATTATTTTCGTCTTCAAAGTTTTCTACTTTTTTAAAAATGTTCAAAAATTTTTAACGAAAATCGAAAAATCGTAAAAAGTAACTTGTGTTTATTCTTCATACCCAGCATATTTAAGCATTCTGGCATGGTAACGATGGTTCGATTCGTTTCCTCTAGCGAGATATTTCAGTGCAAACCAGGCACTTTTTTTTCTGGCCACCCTGTAGAAAAATAGGTCGGTCTCGCAAAAGATTGGGCACCGGGTCCTGGCCTGGGGACTACGGTTTTTTTCTGTCACGCCTAGGCTTAAGCCTAAGCCTAAACCTGGCCGAAGCCGACGCCTAAGCCTGATCCTAAACCTAACTAGTAAGCGAAGCCGAAACGAAGCGTAAGTCTAAGCCGAAGGCTAGGGCAAGCCTAAGCCCAAGCCTGACCAAAGCCTCCATAAACATAAGCCTAAAAGCTACAGTACAACCATCACGATACCTAACGATGAACGGTAGACACTTAAAAGCGACAGCACGGCCACACATTAGACCAAGACCAAAAACGAACCCACTCCTGGACACACCTATTCACGCCCCAGGGGAGTGGCCGGGTGAAAAGGAGGGCCATGTGCGCCATTATGAGGTAATCCGAGATCGGTCTGTAGACAACGGGAAGGCCCAGATACGCACCGGGACCTCTGCGGATACCACTCGACTGCCTGGTCATGTATGCAAGAATAATATGTCACGAATTCCGGGCGGAAAGGGCACCTCGTTTTCTGTTTTGCGTACATTAGTGTGTCGATGCGTAGTATTGCGTAAGATCGTATTTCTGGATAGTCTCTGCTCTGCGGTTAGCAGGCTTAAAGTGAGGTTCAGGCCTAGCTTAGGCTTAGGTTTAGGTTTCGGTTTGTGCTTAGGCCTAGACGTGCCCACATTCTTATGACAAATTAAAGGGCTGGAGAAAGATGGCTGGTTAGCACGTTAGGCTGTGGGGAGAACCATCGCTGGTTCGACTCCCGCCCGCTGCAAAATTCTTTGCTTTTTCGCCAAATGCATCTTTCTCGAGCCCTTTAAAGGGGCTCAGAAGTCAAAATTCGTGCGTGCGGGGATTGAACCCACTGGTCAAAAAACGCAAGGGACACTGCCGAGAAGTGCCAGAAAAGTGATTTCATTGCGAAAAAACGTAAAATATTTGAGAAAATCCGAATTCTTTTTGGGGCGAAAACGACATTTTGAGTGCGCGGCGATTACCTGTCGTAATGCCTTGTAAGGCACCCAATCTCTCGATCTCGGCGATTCTCTGGTCAATTTTCATAAATTAAAAGTCTAGAATGATCAAAATTTGGTGAAGATTCCAAAAATAGCATCAGAATTTTTAAATTCTAGCGTTTTCGCGTCCAAACAGGGGCAAAAGACCATGCGGCGGTCGCGTTGCGGTCGCATCTGGCTATTTGCCAGAAATCACAGCAGGGGGGCCGTGGACCAGATTTCGGAGCCCCTTTAAAAAAATACCTCAAAATAACAAATTAATTACATTAACGTACATTATTAACATATATTAACATAATTAATTACATTAATTAATTACATTAACCTGACAAATTAATTAAATTAAAATACCTCGCCTATACCACAGAACTACAGACTATAACCCCCAAATGATGGGGCTATTATTTTTTTGACGTATCATCCGACGATCCAGAATAAGATTATCGGCTCCCCGTGCCACCACGTCCCGAACAAAGCCCACCGTATTTTTACTGCATTTCCTTTTGAAAAGCCCCTAATCCGCCGCCTTAAAAAGGAGCTCCACCCCAATGGGGGTAGCGGCGCTGACAAATTGGAGAATGTCGTAATATTTGGATGCCTGAATTGGATTGGATGCCTTTGAAGTTAGGCGATTTTTCAGCGTTAACAGAAGTATCATCGACTATAGGAGGATGATCGCAAAAACAAGCAAAAATTAAGGTTTAGGCTTGGCTAAGGCTGATGGGTTTTTTGGTAGGGGCAAACTAGCATAGATGCTTGTGGAATCCGCCCTGATCTAATTCCCTGGGTTCTATGAAATAACAATCCCGATTCTTCCTTCGATGCTTAGTCGTTGTTTCAATTGGTAACACGCAATCCCCGAGAAGATCATCATAAAGCAGTGTCGAGTAGGCGAGAGGCAACGAGAGAGAGGGAGAGTGAGAGAGACCGTCAAACCCCCCCAAGATTGAACCGTTTTAATGAAAAGGGCCTCCAGGGCGACAAGCCGAATCGCTCGAGAGGGGCGAGAGGGCCCAGTTGAAGCAATTAGGGCCCCCTACCGTAATCCTGGGAGTGAGAGGCTTGGGACCCAAGGGCCCACGATCACCACCACACACCCCGATAACCCACCCCCGCTTTTCCCAGCCGCTACAAAAGGGAATGAGGGTGAAGAGGAGCTATTATTCTTGACTGGCTGTACGGAGCGGGGTTTTGCCGGCCGCGAGATTTGTATTCGGATACTGGGAATATATTGGGTTGGAAATGTGGGATTGGTGAAAAATAGTGGCCGGGTGAGTAGTTGGGAGAGATCGAATTTTGTGAAATATCGAAGTATTCGTCGCGAACTAAGGAATAATAAAACTAGGATGCGAGAGAGCGAAAGCTCGAGGGAGACAGATCGCGAGATAGAGAGAGAGAGAGAGAGAGAGAGAGAGAGAGAAAGCGCGAGGAAAAAAGCGAACGTCAGAAAGATAAAGCGATGGATGGGGAGGAGCCTGGAGATCTTCGAAAAACGATAAGTCCTGGAGTACAGGTATGACGGGAAAGGCGAGCGAGAGAGAGAGAGAGAGAGAGAGACAGAGATATGAGCGCATCTTCATCTCAGAATCGACGTTGAGCATCGACAGGTATGAGGCTCATTTGCATAGCGGAAAAACTTGTACCAATCTTTAGGGGCACCACGTTGCTGGCGACGCCTACTCCTAAGAATATCTGAAATTTTCGCTTCCAAGTCCCCCTTAAAAGGGTCGAGGCAGAAAACATAAAAGTCTATACTAAAACAGCACCATATACGGTAAAAAGAATTCATGACAACACCAGAGAAAGTGAAACTCTGCAGTACTGGGAACAGAAAAAGCGACAAACTCCATCCGGGGTTACGGTACTCACCCCCGCCGGTCCGACTCGAAATGGCCCTCCCTGTCGATCGGTTATACGGAATGTTCCGGAACGGCCCTCACCCCCGGCCACTGCCAATTTCTATTCGACGACCTGATTTTCCACCTGACCCACCCCCACTACCCCGAGCCGATCTCATTACCCTGTAGCCATAGCGATGCCCGCCCCTCGACCCTAATCAAAATATCGGTCTCCATACACACCCCACTGGTTCGCGCCCTTCAAGGGGAATTCCCTGGAGAATTTCGAAGGGGTCCGAGCGAAATTTGTGGAGTCGGGAGTGAGGTTGTTAACAGGGAATCATGATCAAAGTACGGTAATATTGTTGATAAGTTAGTTTTTCTAAGCATAAGCCTAAGCCGAAGCCTATGCTAGACTAAGCCTCAGCCCAAGCCTAAGCTTATGCCTAAGCCAAGCCAAAACCCAAGCCTAAGCCTAAGCCTAAACCTCATCCCCTCTCGTCTTCTCAATGGAAATTTTTATTCACAAAAATGCCCCTTCTTTGCATAGCAAAAACAACACAAATAAAGTATCTATTCTTGCCAATGAATTGACGCACAATAAGGTACCATAATCAAATTCCAAAAATTAAAAATAGCAATATACAAATTCCGAAAAAGGCAAATGTGACCCTGTGAAGTGGCTGCTCGTTTTTGGGCGGGAGAACGGCTGCCCGTAAAGTTGCCTTTATGGGCTGGGGCATGAGAAGTAAAAAAATATATGGCAAAGAGCACTAATGATGTTGCCGGAGCGTTGCGGAATTTTATGCGCGCTTGCGCTACAATTGTATACCTGACTACCCAGATTGGGGGATCGATGAAAGGGGAAGGGAAGGGGAGAAATAGCTTAAGTAGCGGCAGTAGATATTTTGATCTAGTTTGTCTACAACTCCAAATGGCCGGCTGTGGATGTGAAGAGTGATGTAGTGGATGAGGTGTCGGTTGGTAGATACTTGTTCGGGTCGAAGCAGGCCTGGCTGCCTCCGGCTCGGTCGCAATGAGTTGGGTTCTCGACAAGGATTCCTGAAAGTAGAGGTTTTTTCGACTTAAAGGGACTGGGTAGGCTAATAATCTAGCCCGTAGCTGTTGAGACCTAGTCAAAGCTGGCCGTCGATTCTGAGCTGTCCTAGCTCCTTTAAAGGGAGCACAACAGCGCTTAAAGTCGGCGTGAAGAGGCATCTCTCTTTCCCCCCCCCCCCTCTCTCTCTCTCTCTCTATCTCACATTCTCCTTGAGGTATCGCTAACGACTCAGAAGGAAGAAGACTCTCTTAGAAGGACTACTGCATACTGTGTACGTGCCAAACCCAGGTACTCACCTGCAACGCAAGCCGTGAAGAAGCACGAGATACAGCCGGCGAGCAGAGCCCGGAGTACGACTCGAGCGAACACCTGGTGGCAAAGCAGCTAAATTTAGGTGTGTGATTTCGTACCTGTTTCCGTTGAGGACACATCCCACCCAGCACACCTAGCTGGATGCCAATCGAAGAAAAATTGGAGAACCCGCACAGCGCATATGTGGCAATCATGGCTGATCGGGGCTGAAACGGCATTCGTTAATTCGCCGATTTCTCTTGATTTTCGAGGTTTTTCAGCTAGGAACCTCTGGATGTGAAACAAGGGAATTCCCCACCGATAGCTCCCCCTTGGCCACCATGGTGCCGAGGTTCTGGTAGGCGATGAACTCGTTCAGCGCGGTTTTCGTCCCCATCAACTGAGCGACACGAAGCGTTTCATCCGAATTCTCTGTCACCCCCATCACGTAGGCCAACGGGAAGAACACGTAGCCGAGGGATTTCTGAATTCAATGTTGTGCTTCTTAGGGCCGGAACGTGCATTAATTGGGTATTGTGAAAGCCGCACCTGGAAACTCCATCCAGAATACCCAATGACCTCGCCGGCATAGTCGAAAATGTTGTCGATGAAGGCGAGGAGGGCCAAGAATACGATCAAGTTGGCCACGATGGCAAGGACTAGCTCCACGGCGGCTACGGCACCGTTGGAGATGCACTCCAGGGGGTTGGATTCTTCACTGAAGGATGGCTTTGTATATGAGAGAGCGAGGGAGAGAGAGAGAGCAAACCTCGATTTTAAACCTTCAAACTTACCCCTTCGGCAGCTCCAGATCGGACACGTCCTTTAGCTTGCTCTCCTCAGTCTCCGGATACAAAATCTTTGAGCAGGCCAACGACCCGCATGCCGACATCACCGTCGCGGACAGAAGATACGTCGGGCACGCCCCGAATGCGATATACGCCGCAAAGAGGGAACCTGGAAGGAACAAAAATAGAAGTTCTTATATTTCATTAATGCGTGTTCCTAAGGCAAATCATAAGGCTACAAACTACATCCCCAAAAACATACCCGCTATACAGGAAAAACCGCTGGTCATCACGGCATGCAATTCCGAGGCCGTCATCTTTTCAAGGTAGGGCTTGATTAGGAGCGGGGCTTCAGACTACAAACAATCTGTGTAAAAGGATAAGGTCATGCCTAAGCCTAACCTAAGCCTAAGTCCAAGCCTAAACCTAAGCCGAAGTCTAAGATTTACCTGGCCCAAAAAGATGCAGGCACAAGCGTTGAGACTTTCCGTGGCCGTCGTCCCCAGCGTGATCGTCATAAACCAGGCCATGATTTTGAGGATAAACTATAAGACATTACAAACACCGCTTCGTCCCTCCTTACCTGAATCACACCATAGTAGTACAACAACGCGACGATGGACCCGAAGTAAACGACCACTTGAAGGGACTGAAAGTGGAGATTTTGCCACTGATTCCAAATTTCGAGGACTTACGGTGAAAGCAAATGCTCCGGAAATGGCTGTTGATGGGTTGTTCGGGTCACAGATATTCGGAGGGTCCGCGATGAAGCCAAAAACGAAGGAAGTTCCGTTGTTTGTATAGTCGAGGAATTTGACGATTTGGTTGGAGATGCGGTTGAAGGTTTGGTTACCCCAATCCCACCTAAAACGGTGGGGTCAATTTGCTCTCTCTCTCTCTCTCTCTCTCTCGCTCTCTCTCTCTCTCTCTCTCTCTCTCTCTCTCGCTCTCACCTACCTCAAAACCAATAGTCCAAGACAAAACTGCAAGAAAAAGCCCCAGATGACTGGACGCCAGCGGATCTAAAGAAAGAGGACTGTAAACTGTAAACTCTGTTTCCTAAGATCTGCCCAATCTACCGTACCCGTGCCCGGTTGTTCGACAGTATCCACATCAACACAATGAAGCAGGCCATCCCGCCCAGGCCAGTCAACCTCTTGTGGTCCTTCCACGTGTCCCACACCAAGAATCCAAGGATAAGGCCGAGGATCAGCATGTAGAAAAGGCTAAAGATTGGGCTTACTAGGTTTGGCCTAGGCTTAGGCTTGAGCGTACGACTCAAACATTTAAGGAAACCGGCAAAGTTAGGAAAATTTCCTGCACTCACATTTGAAATCCAATAAATTGCCATATCTTCCCGCCGACGTGAATGGCCGGCTCGAACACGGACCTGTAGATGGCCTCGCCGAAGAACCGTTTTATCACCTACACTCCAATCAAATGATGAAGCTTTTCGAGCTACCTGATAATAAATAACACCGGCCCACAGAATACCGGTAATGACAATCATCGGCTCGACCTTCTTCGCGTCGTGCACGATGGCGGCAACTGGAAAAAGCGGGGTTTTGCGTGGAACTTTTCCTGAAAGCCGCTAAACCGGCTTAGTGCGTAAAAATCTCTATAATAACCCACTCAGCCATCCATGGTAGAGCCCGAGAAAGGCGAGGAGCACGAGGATTGAGATGGCTTTATGATGGCGCGTCATGAAGCCGCCGATGCCTTGTTGGATTACTTCTAATATTCTCATTACGCCGGTTACCTAAAAAAGAGAAGGTGATTTGGATCCTCTCTCTCTCTCTCTCTCTCTCTCTCTCTCTCTCCCACCAACCTCTTCATCCAAATATTCTGCTTCCGGAATCTCCTCCTTCATCCCATGCCCTCCGTGGCCGCCATTCCTGTGCGCCGGCTCGAAGTCCTGCGGCAAGTCATAGTGCCCGTTTAATTTTTTCTGAAAATTAAATTTTAAAGGGGAGGCAGAAGTCGTTTTCCCTGATTTTTTAAGACTTTTTAGTTCCCTTGCTGTCCATGCCTCCTCGACAAAACCCGAAAGATTGTGCATTTTGCCCCCCTTCCTTATCACCCCTCGAAAACGTGGGTCGCTGTAGCACTGATTTATGGCAACGTGTCAAAACTATTGAAAGTTAAATAGGGACGTGCCCTTTAAAGGTAACAAATCATTATTCTTAATATCAAATAGTGGTTAATATTTTATACTAATTACCCTAAAGTGGTAAGCAAAAACTCACAACGCTCTGCTCGTCGGCATCCCAGTGCCCCAGAGACATCACAGAGCTATGTAAAAATTAACAAAGCAGCTGTCCGGGGGTGTTGAAGGTAGTTTTAAGTAGGTAGTAATCTAAGAATATACTGTAAATGTAGTTTGATATTTTAGAAGAATGGCAAATTAAGGAATAAGCGCAAGAATAGGTGTCGGATATACTTTGGATGCAAAATTTTTTTAAGGAATAAAGAATATACTTTGATGTAACGTAAAAATCTTAGGATGCAGCAAAGATAAAAATACAAAGGTAAAATCGGTTACGCCATCAAATTAATCCCTCAAAATGCAGTCACGCGATATGGAGAAACTTACGAATCAACCGTCAAGAGGTAAATAACGTAGTTTTAGGCAAGACATCATCTTAAGCGTATAGTTTAAAGTTTTGAGATATTTAGAAAAAATTCAAACATAGAATTGAGAAAACCCAATCGATTACGCCCAAAAATCAAGGCACAACTCGTCGGATGGCGTCAGAATTCCGGAATACAACCATAAACCGGGTTTATAGGTTGTTTTGAGTGGCGGTGCGAACTGGACTATCGGACCCACGTGGTTTCCCCGCCTCGCCAGGCCTGCGTAATTTTTGCGCTTTTCATGGTATGCCGGTGAGGCGAGGACGAGACCGCAAAAATGGCCGACATCGATTGGGAACGCTTTTGAACTGTTTACGACGGAAAGCCGGAAAAAGGGCGAACGCGGTGTAAATTCTGCAGAATTGGTCCCGAATCAATGCTGGATTCTGAAAAGTTATTCCCAAAAAAGAAGGGGCGTTATCAAATTTTTGGGGGAGGCGCCGCGGGGGGAAGTAGAGCAAAAGCCAATCACTCATTTGGACTCATTTGGAATGGACAGTCATTCAGAATTAAATAAATGAGACTTGGCATCGAAAGGAGGTTCTTTAAGCGACCAGGAAGGATTTTAGCAGGCGCTAGATGCCAAAATTAAAGTGAAATTTTGAGAGTTTAAACCCGGCTTAAACTTAAGCTACATCGTGGGGTTAGGCCTACAGCCTTGAGCCTTGTGTTCAGAATTAGACATTCGCCAGGAAAATTTTCTGGCTCAAATTTAGCTCCTGATGGCGAGCCAACGCTCGTTTTTCCGAAAAAAATAAATCTAGTCCGAATTTTCGAAAAATTGGATTGCTAATGTAATGCGAAGAGGCCAAAACTCGAAGGATTTTAGAAACCTGGCTTCTAAGAACCTTCAAAAAAGCCCCTTCGAAACAGAAAAAAACCAAACGCCAAAAAATGGACTTTTACGCCAAAAAGAAGCCCCACAGCGATAGCAAAACCAGACACCCGGGCCATTATCTGTCCATTCGCCCTGGTCCCGATCGACCCTAAGCAGCTTCACGCGCCAAAAAGGAGCAGCGGGCCGCCGCCGCCTGTAAGTCTTATTCTCGCCGCTAGGCGCAATTTGGAGGGCCTCGGAAAATTTGGGAAATTCCAGGGTATTTTTGGGTTAGAAGGTTTTTTAAATTCAATTTACCTGAAGCCTAAAAATTCCACACTCAAATCAAATTTGAAAACTTGGGCTAAATTAGCTTACTTGAGCAAATAATTTAACGAAAAACACCAGAAAACAGCGCCGCGTTTTTACCTATTCAAAAAGCGTTGAAAGACTGCTAAAATCTTAATTTTTACAATTCTTCATGCTACCGTACCAAGTTCAGCATCCAGTTCCTCACCCCTTCCACACGCTCGCTAACCCCCCAACCCCGAAATTCCCCTCGGCAGCCCTGGCCTTTTATAGTGTGGCTCCCCACGGGGGACCGTGATAAATCGGAATCACTTTTGCTGATATTTCGACCACCGTTTTAGCTCTTCCCATCGACTAATCTCGGTGGTTCTCAAATGCGTTTCGAGCCTGAACTCTAATGAAATTCCATATTGCTGCAAATTTACGATTTTAGGGAGATGGGATCGCTTTATGAGGTTTTCAAAAAAAAACAAGAAACGAAGATTTCATCTGTTTACCCACGCTTGAGCCGAAACCTGAGCCCGAGCCTGAGCATAAGCTTCAACCTAAGCCGACGCCTAAGGCTAAGCCTAAGCGTAGGCCTAGGCTGAGTCTAAGAGTCTAAGCTAGCGGCTGTGTACTTCTAAATGGAACGCATAGACATACAGATTTTTCCTCGATTTTTGGCCCGTAGCCAGCCAATAACCCGATCTGAAAACATGTTCCCCCATATTTGCTTTTCGCTTTTTAAAAGGCGCTCTAGCCCTAGTCGTCAAAGATCACGGAATAGGGGAACCACCCTGGTCGATCGGATAATTTCAACTAGAAACTGGAATTTTTTGCCTTCAATTCCGGGACCCCTGCCTCAAGAGCACATTCCCTTTAAAAGGGTGTGGTATTGCTGACTATTCTATTATTTGTATTGTGGTATTAGAATGGGGGAGGGGACCTTTGGTCTTATCTTTTCCGGGATTCGGCTGCGTGTCTGATTTGGTTCCCCGCGTTGCCATGCAAAGATGGTGACGTATCCGGATTAATTTGGGGCCGCTAGGAGTTTTTAGGTCTGGTATGCAAGAATCAGTGTGAGCATAAGCCAAGCATCATAAGCCAAAGCCAAGCCCAAGCCGAAGCAACCAAATAGATTCTGCAAATGCAGGATATGAAAAAAACTTCACGAGACGAAGGTGATCAGAAGCCCTGGGCCGGCTGACAGCTGGCTGCCTCTCCTTTGCCCCTTCCCCCCAGTGTTTGCACCCGGCATTCATTTCAATCACCCCTCTTTTTGCTTGCCCCTTTCCCTCATCATCTCTGCTTGTTGGCCCCCACCTACTGCTCAATATAATCCCGTTCACACCCCAGCCATCAGTGCATTTTGTTGACCAATGCCCACGACGAATATTGAGGCGGCAGGGCAAATATTCGGCTTGATTCTGGGGTTGATTTGGGGGGTCTAAAGGGACGGTGACATGTAGGCGTCGCTTTTCTGAGACTCAAACGTAGGTAAGCAGAAGTTGGCTAAGCTAGCAAAGCCTAAGCGCAAGCCAAGCCTAAGCCCAGGCCTAACGCTAAGCCTTTTGACGATCACAAAACCTCATAAAACGCTGTATTCGATTCTCATCGCAATGACCCGGCATTAATGAATAATGAGCAATACACTTATATACTCGAGCACACATCTCAATATAAAAATTCCTGTATCCGGGTGTAGATCTTTGTAAACTTTTTGCCCCTGGCGCCCTTGACCTTGGCGATGCGCTGGTAGAGCTTTTTCCCCTTTCGCTCGAATGTGCGTTTTGTCTAGAGGTCTAAAATCATATTTTAACGGTTTTACCATACCTTATCCGGCCACATCTCCTCCAGAGCCGGGTGCACTTTTAAATAGCGACTCTGGAAGGGATCAAGCTAAGAAAGCTGGAAGTTAACGATACCTTAAATTGAATCTTGTGATGTCCATTTTCCCCTCCTTCCAGCTCGCCTTCTTCGATCGCGTGGTACCCTAGATTCGAGAAAATATAAGAGACAAAAGGCCAAAAACCTAGATTCGACGTCGACATCAACGCTGCCTTCCTGATGACAATGTCATCGGGGTATTGCTGGATGGTTAAGAACCCATTGGAGACATGCTGATCGGTCGGGTCGTTGAGGGACGTCGCGACGCTACTGAAAAAACACGGGTTTAAGGGGATGAACAAGCGAAACGTGGACTCTAGCTTTACCTGTTAGCCATTAGGTGTGGATAGCTACGTTTCGCGTCAAATGACATTAGGCTAATAAAAGCGGTTATTAGGAGCGTAACGTAGCTCTCCGCCTTATCAGTAGAAAAAAAAACAGGTTCTAAGTGCCAATCCATTTCAAGGAATAAATAATGCTCCTCTCAATAGCCAAGAACATTTGCTAGCTTACCGACCTGAAGTTTATTGCTGGAGTCCCAAAAACCAGGCCTTCAGCGACGGAAAACGTGACGATTTCTTCATAGCCTGGCGATTCAAAATCGAAGGGAAGATCGGCTTTTCCTAAAAAATGAGTTCTTGAGAAATTTTGACGAGAATCGAAACTTTTAAGAGAGCATGCAGTTTGTTGTTTTATAGCCAATTTCCATACCTTTAACGACCAATCGCCACTTGCCAAGCACCCACGTCAATGGAAGTAGAATATGAGGGATTGGGCGGTTCGTTTTTACTAAATTATATTAAACCTGAACCGAAAAACCTTGAAAGCCCATTAAATATGATTACTCTCTCTTACAAGCTTCACAAACCTGTTTCATTCTTGTAGACGCATTGTTTACAAGTAACGGCACAATTATACTCAAAGAAATCTGAAACATGAAATACCCAAAAGCCGCTGAAAGCCCTTACCAGTTTCCGCAGTCCGCAAACATTCCCCATCCCGCTCCCAAATTCGACAAGTACCGTAGACGTCTTGGCAGGGGCCTGAAAGCCTGAATTACACCAAATTTTTCCCGAACTTACGGTCACAATCTTTGCCCATCCACCCATCCTCACAAATACATTTGTAGTCGTTAAATTTATCAATGCACGTCTTGGCCTGTTGGCAACGGAGCCAATTGCATTCGTTAATTTCTGAAATTGAAGTTGAAGTTGAAAGCCTAAGCCTAATCCTAAGCCTAACAAGGGAAATGCACGACCGGCCCACGAGAAATTGATACGCGACATAGTGGATCTGATAGAATAGGACACGGGGATTCCGAATCTGCCGTCAGAATTTACTAAATAAAACGGAGAAGAAAGTTATGAAGCTTCAAAGTTGGCCAAATCGCCAATAACGGTACCTTTACGTGCCCGTAAAAACCGGGGGAACGGAATTGAGGAGAAAAGAGTTAGTGCAACTTGTTCAGCAGAAAAAGCGCTTTCGAATGAGCTGTAATACGTAGCATTTGCAAACAATTCACCGAAAAAGGTTTTTTGGATTCACGGGCAAGGGTATGGCCTGCCAAGTTCATAGAAGAGATTTCCGCGAAATCCTCGTAAACTTAAAGTATTACAGCTCATTCGAAAGCGCTTTTTCTGCTGAACAAGTTGCACTAACTCTTTTCTCCTCAATTCGTTCCCCCGGTTTTTACGGGCACGTAAAGGTACCGTTATTGGCGATTTGGCCAACTTTGAAGCTTCATAACTTTCTTCTCCGTTTTATTTAGTAAATTCTGACGGCAGATTCGGAATCCCCGTGTCCTATTCTATCAGATCCACTATGTCGTGTGTCGATTTCTCGTGGGCCGGTCGTGCACTTCCCTTGTAAGCCTAAGCCTCCTTTCGATTCCTACCTCGCTCGCAGTTGAAGCCCGCCGTCCCTTTAGGGCAGACACATCCCAGCTGTCCATTGGCCAGTAGCGTACAGTTTCCGCCCTGCTTGCACAACTCCCGCGGACAGCGCGCTGAAAGGGTTGTCTTTTTAAAGGTATTGGTAGATTTCAGCCCCTTCGACGTATGTTTTCTCTGCCTCTCTCTCTCTTTCTCTCTCTCTCTCTCTCTCTCTCTCTCTCTCTTTCGCTCTCTCTCCCACTCACTCTCGCATCGACTGCCCACATATCCATCGTCACATTGGCAGGTGAACGTCTGCTTGGCCGCATCGTTGAGGCAAACACCTCGCTCACAAGGGTTTGAGGTACAGTAATCCACTTCTAAAGGTCGGACCGGTTTAAATGATCTCTGCTAGCCTGCCCGACCTTCACACCTTCGCCCCGTAAAGCCCTCGGGGCATTTGCATTGCGCAAAGTTGACGAGTTCCTCGCAAATTCCCTCATTCGCGCATCCGGTGGTTTTACAATCTAAAACGAAAAGATTAAGCCTAGGTCTTGGCCTAAGCCGAGGCCTAGCCTAAGCTCAAGCTAAGCCTAAGCCCACGCCTAAACTGATACCATATGCCGAGTCAAGTGTAATGTTGGTGACGTCCCGCCGTGATCTGGCCACTTTCTTCGAGTGTAAGTTGGCGCTCAGAAAGCGGAGATCCGCATCGTCTAGCTGAAAAACTTACTAAAATCTCTCTCTCCTTTAAAACCTGTAATTGAGCGGGATACTGCCGTTTCCGCAGCCCGCCCGGGTATTTCGTGCTCAACGTCGATGCGATGGCTTCACGCTCCGTTTTCTCGGTCGTGCTCAACCAGTGGTCGGTCAAGGGGGTTCCTGAATTCAGTTTTAGGGGGGTTGAGAGAGCTGGAAAAATGAAGTTTACGCTAAGTCTGAGCCTAAGCCTAGCTAAAGCTTAAGCCTACGCTTAAGTAGCTCACCATTCCTAAGCTTCTCCCAGCTTGGCGCTGTCACAGCCGAGATCATCTCCGAGCTCTTCGAGCTGGCTTCAACAGCTAAAAAACGGTCTTTTCAATTTTTTTTTCCGGAAAAAAGACCGTTCCCCTCCGCTCCTCGTTCCCATTTCTTGACTCTTGACAACATATTTTCGTTTATGGAGTCGGTATTAACTGGTGGAGTCGAGTGAATGTGCATACTTTTGCCTTAAAGTATATTTTTATTATAAGAAACTTTCCAAACCGTCTTCAACAGTTTCCTCAACAAATAGCCGCTCGTTGACTTGTGAGCGCTCGTGGCTTTTTGAGATTGGGGAGATGAAGCCGCTTCGCGGGCGCCAGCGTTCCCAGAATAGATCATTCTCGGTGGCTAAGGTCAGCCTGAAAAAAGGAAGCTCGGTCTCCCTCTCTCTCTCTCTCACTCTCTCTCTCTTTCTCTCTCTCTCTCTCTCTGTCTCTTCTCTCTCTCTCTAACAAAACCTACATAAACTGCACATCCCCAACATCATAATCCGGCACCCAATACACCTCAAACAAAAATTTCTTCTCGCTATTCGCATGCGTAACCGAATCGCCTCGATTAAACGAGCAGTTCTGGAATCTCAGCCCTAAAAATTCCACATTTTCCTGAAAAGCTTAACTTCCACTACCAAACTCCTTCCAGTCGCGCGTCGGCTCGAAATGGCCACCCTTCAGCGACCCAATCGTGTACCCAGTTGGATGGGCAAGTCGTGGCTGCAGCAGAAGCCCTCGCAGATGAACAAAGCTGTTGACCCTGACTGGAAATTACTGATAGAGCGTGGTTTGGTGCGTAGCGTAGTCGTTAGTTCCGCTTACCCAGATACTTCTCGCCGGGTCGATAGTAATGAGCTGGGCGGCTGTTTTTGTCCAAGAACTTGAACTCGAAAGGTGGCTTCGTTCGCTGTGGCAGGCCGTGGAGGGCACGAGATAGTCTGGACGGGGGAAGCGGTTGGGTTTGGAAATTAGCAGGCCAAAGGTATAAGAGTCAAAACCTAAAGCTAAGCCTGGTCAGTCCTAGCCCCGGGCTAAGACTGAATCGAAGCTTAAGCCTAGATGCAAGCCTAAGCCCACCCCACCTCATCGTACTCCCGAATCGACACGGAAACCCGTGCATTTCCCGTAATACATCGTCTACACCGTAGACTATTTGCGCAATCGAAACCAGCAAGAATGGTAGATACTTCAGCACCATCGTTCGTTTGTAAATGGCATGAAACCGGGGCAGCAGGGGGTTCTGTAATGAATGTATAGGGTCATGGATCCGGTCGTTCAGGGGTTAATGTGGAATCGGAAAGGTCGTTGCGAGGAATGCAGCGTAGTGTTTGGGGTGGAGGGAGTAATGGAATCAAGGGGAAGGTATACGGTGATTGGTACTGCAGATTAATAAAAAGAGCGAGCAGGTGAAATAGAATTTTAAGAATTGAGAGATCGGTCTTAAGGCAGGAGTTACGTATTCAACAATTTTTAGCGATATTTTATCAGAAAATGTTGAATGTTTGGACTGATTAAGGCAAAAATGGCCTGGAAATGTCAAGTATACGGTTACGTTCAAGTATATTTTATGGATATAGCAGCATAAAATTCCGCATAAATTTCGCGCCCCAGCGTCATTATTTCAGCGCAGAACTGCCATCCACAATACGATTGAAGGGGCACCAAATAGGAACACGGAGTGTCAACGCGCGGCTGCCCCAAAGGCGTTGTGTGTGTGTGTTTCAACGCAAAAAGTGAAGGCTGTGGGGGTAGGGGGTTGGTTGGTGCCCCTCCTCAACCTCCTCAACCCCATCCTCCTGCTCCCCTCCGGGGTTCCGTTCCACCGTCTCGACCATCACCGTGGCGCAACCCATTTCTTTAGACATAGCAGCTCTTCCCTGCTACCCTCAATCTGCCATCGGCGGCATATCCATTTCCAGCCAATTCCGGCCAATCACCCGGGGGTGGGAAAAGCGTAGCGCTGCCGCTTTCATTAATGGGGTCGCCGAGGTGGGAAACTGTAAAAATACCGACAGCCAAAAACCCGAAATTCAAAATACCGATTTGCATCCGTCAGAATACCCAGGAGAGCCGAAAATCCCGACAGTCCAGAGCCCCGACTTTGAAAATACCGACAACAAAAATTCCTACAGCCTAAAGCCCGATCTTCGAAATATCGTCAGACTAAAATTTTGAGTTTTCTTTGGCTTGCGTGTTTTGGATGTCGGGATTCTAGCTTGTCGGCATGGTTTTCGAAAATCGCGAATATGGCTGAACTTTTTGGTAAGAACCGCTAGCAAACGCCGGTAGCAACTTTCATTTCCTCAAAAATCGCTGCCAGCATGCCCCAGGCAAAGCTACCTGACTGGCCAAATCCGGAGTTCCAAGCATGATTTGCCGTTTTTCAGAGAATCATGTTCCCGAGTACATCACTGTCCGCTATTCCCCTTTCACGGCACTCCACTGTTCTAATTTTCGCGCCCTTTCGCAGGATGGGTCTGGTTTTTAGGTTTCCCCCGCCGCCGAGAGATGCATTTTTGGATTTCCTCTTGGTTTTTCAAAGTCGGGCTCAAAAAAGGTGAATTCTACCTCGTCAAAACGACGCGAGTTAAAATGAATAGGAATGAAATTTTGAGGATTATTTTGTCCCGAAATTGCCCAATTGCCCCTTCTCACGATGATTTCAGGAATCTGCATCGAAAAGGGCAACGGAATAAGCCGTCGAATGATTTTTACAAAGCGAGAGAGTAGAGAAATATAGCTAGAAGCCTTTTGTCGCATCCTTCTCGACCTCCGCTAAAGCCCAAAACCTGATTTTGCCCCTGGTTGGCCCAGAGCGAGCGCTTCTCACTATGATTTCCAGAATCGCCATACAAAACTGCACCGCCGGACCATACGTTCAAAATTTTTTTCAAATGCGAAAAAGTGGAGAGACAGCTAGAGAAATTTTTCATTTCCTCCTTTCATGAAAGCGGCATCCTCAAAGGGTCCGCCTCTAAAAACTTTTAGACAGCACCGCGTTCGTTGTTTTAGTTCGGAAAGACGCGTGTGAACGGCTGCGATAGATAATCGAAGATGTCGAGCGTCTCTTCCGGCCGCTCGGGTATACTTTATGTCTCTTGTATGCCAAAAAGCCAAAAAAAAACCCGATTGATCCACTGAAGCGTCATCGTCGGTGCTGCGCCCCCCGCAAAGCTTGGATTACACACGAATCACAAGTGGGCAGTTGACCTATTTTTCAGAGTTTGTTTTATTTTTAATTGTATGCTGCAATAGGATATTGATGCTCGTAAATAGTTTTGCTAGGTGATATGGTTTTTTGGCTTAGGCTTGGGGTTCGGATTAGGCTTACAAGGAGACGTTTTTGATTGTCGTCGGGACATTGGCATGGGACCAAGCCTATCTTGTGCAGAATTTTACGCTGATTCCGAATATGGTAACCGTTTTTGCGGAATAGCCATTTCTCGAAAGCTATGAACTATTTAAATCTCAAAACAGCCCAAAATCGGCTACTTCCGATAGTCATAAAAGACTTCGGAATAGGTTTTAGACAAAACCAGATAAGGCCTCTTATTCAGCAAAATTCTCTATAAAATAAGCTACTTAACTCAAAAATCTTGGAATTTTGAAAATTTTTGTAAAATTAGAGGCCTCCCAATTAAGCAAATTTTTCTAACTTTTCAATGATTTTGGAGAAGTTGGTACATTTTCTATAGAATTTTTTTCTGAACAAGCTGCACTACCTGGTTTTGTCTAAAACCTATTCTGAAGCCTTTAATGACTATCGGAATTTGCCGATTTTGGACTTTTTTGTGGTTTAAATCGTTCATAGCTTTCGAGAAATGGCTATTCCGCAAAAACGGTTACCATATTCGGAATCAGCCTAAAATTCTGCACAAGCTAGGCTTGGTCAGATGCCAAAGTCCCGACGACACTCAAAAACGTCTCCTTGTTAGGCTTCGCCGAAACTTGTAAAGACCTATCATTATTCCGTTTAATCCATTGTTACTTTTATTATTAAAACTATTATTTAGATCGCTTAAAGCTCATATCGAATGCTCGACAGCTTTGAACATACTTTGGGCGGATCATCTGTGCGCGACCTTTTTGTGCTTCGACCAGATTTGACGGTAAGTTTTACAGGGTTTTTCACTCTCTCTCGCTCCCTTTCTCTTTCTCTCGCCCTCTTTCTCTCCAACGATTTCTGGCACAATAAGTGTTTGCCCACTAATAATAGGCTAGAAGACCTTGGCGCTTTGCTGGCATGGCGTGGGCCCCCATTTTTCGGGGGCCCCCAGAATATCTGGCTACCCTCTAATCCGTTGGTGGTTTGCGCGGGCGGCTCACACCGGCTTGATCCAATTTTATCGTTCGCTCTCTCCGTCTCTCTTTCTGTGTCTCTCTCTCTCTCTCTCTCTCTCTCTCTCTCTCTCTCTCTCTGATCTCGAATCGTTCTTTTGGTTGAAATAGCAGAGATCTTTTGCGGAATCTGGTCTCCAGGAGTCCGAGAGTGAGAGAGAGAGAGAGAGAGAGAGAGAGAGAGAGAGAGTCAGAGGGAGAGAGGGAGAGAGAGAATGGGAAAAGCCGAGACAATGCCGAAAGCCGATGTTCTTATATGCCAGCCTGACGATGAGAAAGGCTAGCTGCCATTGTCGTGCATCGGGAAAGACCTGGAGCGAGTCACAGAGAGAGAGATAGAGAGAGAGAGAGAGAGCCAGTTACTGAGAGCGAGATAGCGAGACCCAGAAAAAGGCTAACCCCTTGGCCCCGATTGGGTGAGCGAGCGAGCGTGTGTGTGTGTGAAGGGATTTGCCTTGAATGGCCCCTGAGGGTGCATCGATTCCGCAGCAGTCCAGAAGACGAGGCACATACGGGCAAAAAGCTCTAAATCCCGGGGCAGTGCGGCCCTTTCGGATGGGGGAAGCCGTTCATTTGCCACTGCAATCTGTCTGACCTGAGAGAGGGAGAGAGAGAGAGAGAGAGAGAGAGAGAGAGAGAGAGAGAGAGAGAGTGAGAGAGTGAGGGAGAGTAACAGAAGAATTACGTGTCAATCAACCGCTCGCGAGATTTGTGGGTTCTCAATTTTGCAGCTAAGCTACTGTAATTTAGGGGTTCAGGTGTCAAATTCGGAGCTAAAATAAGATATTTTAAAGAGGCGAGGAAATCGATGGCTGCTTTTCTAGTGTTTCAAGCAGACAGGCGGCTCAGTAAAATGCTTATAACTCTGCTGGCTACAATTCGATTGTTATGAAATTTCCCCTATGGTGTGAAATCTAGAAAGCTTTATTCTGACCCATTTTTTGTAAAAAATAATTTGAAACGACAAAGTTATGGTAAAAATTATAATACTTTCTGTGTTTTAGGCGGACTTATGCAAACGTTTTACGAAAAAAATCTTCAAAGAACCATTTCAACTTTTTTTACACTTTTCACGCTTTCGCTCACTTAATATGCCGCTTTTCTTTTCAATTCCACAACCATCAAGTCTGTATTCATCGCCAACCCTCCGAAAATTCCACACCCCGCTCCAGGAATTATTGGTTTTTGTTTTCCCTCCCGTCCTTTCAGCCCTAGAAGGCCCGCGGAAAAGTTTCACGGGGCCTTGGCTTCGAAGGGGCCAGTGTGTGTGTGTGGGGCCCACTGGGGCCCGGCGTGGGGCCCATCGATCCGTAGGTAGAGCCCTTCCTCACCCAGGGCAGAAGGGACCCAGGGCTGAATCCCCGCCTCTATACCACATACACACACAAGCATAGACATACACACGCGTATGCATCGGCTTCTTCTTCTTCTTCTCCGGCTTTTGCTGGCTCACCTCTATCTGAGGGCCAACTCAATCTTATCCTGGGTCTTTTCTGGGCCCTCTGTGACTCAGGCTCCACTGATCTATGTTTCTTTAGTAAAAAAAATATTTTTATCGTTCTCTATCTCTCTCTCTTTCTCTCCCTTTCACTCTCTCTAACTCCGTCTCGTTCTCTATCTATCGCTTCAAAACTTCAAAACTACATTCTCAAACTCGCCCTCCCCCAAAAAAATTTTTCCGGGTGAAACGAAAAGCCTGCCGGTTGCTCGGGTAGACTTGAAAAAATGGGCACGCCATTCGCTGGCCCCGAGCCCCTCTTCGGAATACATAACATGGGAAGCGAGTCGCTCCATTTTTCCGTTTTGGGGTTTTGCCCTTAAGTAGACTAAACCTAAACCTAGGCCTAAACCTAAGCTTGAGCCTAACCTAGGCCTGAGTCTAAGACTAAGCATACTCCATTACGGAATAGAGAGACAAAGCGTGTGAGATACGTTTCGTTACGTGAGAGGCCGCTAAAAGGCCATAGGGAATCCTAGGCCGCTAAAATGCGTACAGATGACTTCGCAGACCCTTTAAAGCGTTTATCCATCAAGGTATGGTTAAAGCAAACCAGGACCAGGTATTTTTTCTGAATTCCTCGAACCAACGAGATCATATTCGAATTCATGCCGAAAATCCGGAGAAACCAGAACCGAAAAACGTCGATATCTGGTGGGGAAGGGGCCACGTTTTCTCCACTTTGCCCCTCGAATGCGCTGCTTTTTGGCGGCATAGTTATGAGGGTCGCCGCATTTTATAGGGATCCAGAGTTTCCGCATTTTTCTTCAGGCATTTAAAGCAACGCTAAATGTTAAATATTTAAATTGGAGAAAACAGGTCTAGGTGGCCTGGTGGCTAACGCTTTGGTCTAAGAAGTCTACGACAGGGGTTCGGACCGCCCGAGGCCTGACTTTTTGATTTTGGCCTTTCTTTTTTGCCAGCACTATGTTCCTAAAATATAAAATGTATGTCTTTGATTAAGCTAGTGATGAATTTTTGAATGTTTAGTGCGAAATCAATATTGCAAACATATTTATCTAAATTTTGAATTCCTAATACGAACTCTCCCTGTTCAAATCCGCCAAATTACACACGATTTGACATACCAATCTCGCCCCCCACGGTTTTCTACTCACCACTAAATAATCCGGCTAATCCGCTGGGCCACACCAGGGCGAACCCGCCGTTGGCTCGTTGGCTTTTCGTACAAATCCCATTTTTACGAATCGCAAATCAACGTTTCTGCGTTCAGAGCCGTAATTTGTACTTTTGTGCCGGTATTTTTGTAATATTCGGTTTTTGGATTGTTCGCTTATGTCGTTCTTTTTCCGCTTCTTGAAGCCGAACCCTATGGCTAAATCTAACCCTAAGTCTATTGGCTAACTAGGCATCCCTAGTAAGTCAAAGCCTAATAAGCGAAGCTAGCCTAAGTTTCTCTCTCTCTCTCTCTCTCTCTCTCTCTCTCTCTCTCTCTCTCTCTCTCTCTCTCTCTCCCCGCGCTCTCCCACTCTCTCCCTCTCACTCTCGCTCTCTCCCGCTCTCTCGTCCTCTCTCTCCGTCTCTCTCTCACTCTCTCTCTCTCTCTCTCTCGCCTTCCAAACACTTATTATTCCACCCCACTTATAATTTCAGATGGCGACCGGTGCTCAGGGCGGTGCCGCCGGCGGCCAGGCCGACCAGAATTTTGACTACATGTTCAAGGTATTATATAGATCTTGTTCCTAAAATAGTCGATCTATCCATATGCTACGATATTTTAAGAAAAAACTTAAAAAACGCAAGCTCTAGCCCATTTGGCGAGCTTCAACCCTCGCCACTTTATTATCCACTTTCCCGCGGCCGATGCTCGCCGGCCCGGGCCCCTCCAATTTATCGGCTTTTCGCTCCGGGACCCCCGCAAGCCGATGGGCGCCAAGATACGTCATAGGCAAATGTAAATTGGGTGCAAAACGCGCCGGAAACTAGAAAAATTTTTTCTGGATCTGGGGTTATCCGAACAAGGTATCAATAAAAAGTAAAATTGCCTCTAACAAGCCCTATTAAAGTCAAGAATTAACGTAAACGGAATGGAGGCCAAACTAAGTTTAATTATTTAGTAACTTGTGATTTAATAAGCCTCAAAACCAATTTTTAGCTTCTCATCATCGGCAACTCGTCGGTGGGCAAGACGTCGTTCCTCTTCCGGTATTGCGATGACTCATTCACGTCGGCGTTTGTCAGCACGGTTGGAATTGACTTTAAGGTAAGTAACGGAATTTTTAATGGCGACTTAAAGGTATTTACAATATCTAGCGCAATTTTGAAAGTTTTTTTTGAAGCGAATTTTAAGGTTTATAAAACGGTAAAAACGGTAAAAGAGTAAAAGAAACGGTAAAAAAAAGTAATATTTCAGCCCAAATCTCATCTTTACGATTCCTAAGCAACTGAATTCTTGACATTTTGCCTTTCGGATACCTTTAAACGAGTTGAGCGCATTTTTGCACACCTTAAAACATACTTTTCAGGTGAAAACGGTGTTCCGTGGCGACAAGCGGGTGAAGCTCCAAATTTGGGTATGATGAACCTGATTTTCCTATTTTCCGTTTAACTTCAGGACACGGCCGGCCAAGAGCGCTACCGTACGATCACCACAGCGTACTACCGAGGTGCCATGGGCTTCATCCTGATGTATGACATCACCAACGAGGAATCGTTCAACTCCGTACAGGATTGGTGGGTCTAATTGAAGTGAAGCCGAAGACTAAGCCTAAGCCTAAGCCTAAGCCATTCAAATCTTCAACTTTCAGGTGTACACAAATCAAAACCTACTCGTGGGAGAACGCACAAGTCGTGCTCGTCGGCAACAAGTGCGACATGGACGGGGAGCGGGTCGTCTCCATGGAACGGGGACGGCAGTTGGCTGATCAGCTCGGTGGGTTTTGTATGCTAATTAGTTGCTATACTAAATTGAGATTTTAACGGTTAAGGTTGGGGGTGCTGCCTTTAAGTTTTTAGAATTGTTTTTAAAGGTCAGCATTTTTAGCCAAATAAGCCCGTTTCCCATAGCTAGAATCTTCACAAAACTTGGTCCCCAAATCGTCTGTTCTTCGGACAACCCCCAAACAGCCCTTCCGCGCCAAAAGTCAACATATGACACGTCCGGGCTCGGCTGTCCCCTCATATACCCCTCTCCCGCGTCCCTTCCCGTCGGTCCCGTGGTGTAGCGGTTAGCACTCAGGACTCTGAATCCTGCGACGGGAGTTCAAATCTCCCCGGGACCTCAACGTTTTGCTTTTTGGGTCTATATCTCCGGAAGTTGTACATTCACTTTTACCAATTTATTTGAACCATTTTTAGGCCTTCAATTCTTCGAGACATCCGCAAAGGAGAACATCAACGTGAAGGCGGTGTTCGAGAAGCTGGTCGAGATCATTTGCGACAAAATGGCCGAGAGTCTCGATAAAGTGGGCATATTAAAGCTAAGCAGCAGCACATTAACATGAAATTTCGATACAGATTTAACAAAGCTGAGGCTTAATTTTCAGGACCAACAGCAGCAACCAAAGGGCACCAAGCTCGACGCGACGACGACGCAAAAGCCGCCCCAGCAATCCTGCAACTGCTAGGCTCATCAGAATTCCTAAAAAGAATTATTTTTATTCATTGATCGCCATCACTTATTCCCCCAAAAAAATCAGGGTTTGACACTTTTTAAAAGAATTAAAATCGATAAAATTGTCGAACCCTCCTCCAAAAAAACCCCACGTCCTCATCTGCCCTCTACAAAAATATTGCTCTACCGTATCCTAACGTACGATATCTTACCGTACTCCCAAAACTCCACCAAATCCCTAGTCAGCGTCGATAGTATTTATTTGTACCCGGCCCGCCGAGCAAGCGCTTCTTCTCTTCAGGTCTGCTTTCATCAGCTGTCCCACTAGGCACATTTTCTACAGTAATCATTTTTTATTTAGATTTTTTTATACTGCTCTACTTTATGTTACGATTTTATACTTTAGTGGTACTATAAATGTAATTTTTAGTTTTTTTTTTGCTTGGGAATCGAAGTAAAAACTCGAGAATATCGAGGTTCTTGAGAAAACTCAAGCCCAAGCCCGAGCTCAAGCCTAAGCCTAAGTCCAAGCGTAAGATTCAACCTAAGCCTAAGCCCAAGCTAAGCCTAAGCCTAATCTCCGATTCCCAAGCCTACATTACACCCCGGTTAGTGACAATTTCCCAGCAACCGTTGTGAGTACAGCCCCGGAAAAGCACCCATAAAGCAAATAATTCCCCTCCGCTCCCTCTCACCAAGCGCCCCCTTTTCTAATTTTATTTATTCTTACTTTAAAATTATATATGCGTATAATACGATCGCCAGTATAAATATTTATTTTTAGGAAAAGTTTGTGAAATACAGATTAACGCACAAAACAACAAAAAGCAAGGCAAACAAGCAAAGAATATTGGAGACATTAAAGCTGTAACTTACCATATATAGAAAAGCCCATGCTCCAAAAGAAAAACCTAAGCCTAAGCCCAAGCCTAAACTAATTCTAAGCCCAAAGCATCGACAAAAAACAGCCAAAATCAGAGAAAAATAATTTGCATAACCTAATTTGCATACGAGTTTTGCGATTTTCATGCAAAATGGACTATAAAAATCGTGAGCACCAGAAATCGCCATTTTCCAAAGCAACTTGTACCCCGTGCGGCTCGCCCATCCCGCCTCTTCATCCCTACCGACTTGTCAACACCACCAGCGTCGAGAAGATGCAGAGCTTCTCGAGCCTCTCGCTACTGGTAGGTGGTAATTTTTTCTAGTTTTCTTTCCGTTTTATACCCCCCACCGTTAACAGATCAGTACGCAGTTTTAGAGCGCTTCTACGGCCTACGACATGAACGAGAACCCGTTCGAGGATGCGCTGCCGGAGAGCGTGGGCTTATTTTCGTTTAAAGGCTAGCAGGGAGGATTCGGGAATTCCGCAAGGATATCTGCTGCCTTCCACAGCTAAACTTAATTTTTTTTTGTCTCTCACATCAATTTCAGGGCGTCGAAACGGCCGTCGAGGTTCCCCTGCCAGCGATCACCGTCGGGATGTCCTTTGATGATGCTGAGGGTACGGGCCATTCCACTTTACGCTACTGTACGCTGCACATTTTCCAGTCAAACCCACCCCGCTGCCGGCTCCACAGTGCGGCTACTCGTTCCCGTTCAGAGACGTCGAGTTTATCGTCAAAACGGCTTCATATCAGGTAGCTCTCTCTCTCTCTCTCTCTCTCTCTCTCTCTCTCTCTCGCTCTCTCTCTCTCCCACTCACCTCCTTCCAGACTCTGCGTCGCGTCGAGGTGCGCGTCACGACGAAACAGCCGATGGAGGTGGCCTACGTGGCTCAAGTCCGCATCCGCACCGGCAACGGTGGCGTCCCGTCGACGAAAGTCGTGGACAAGGTACCGTAGCGCGATCACCATAATTGTATCCAGCCATTCGAAACTCTTCAGGACGTTTTTCACTTTGCTCCCCTCTTCCACCCGCTGCTCGTCAACATTGTCGACCATCGCGTGCTCCACGTCCACTTTGAGCTGCGCTTCATCAACCTGGTACGAAGGGCTGAGCTTGAGCTTAGGCTTTGGCTTATAGCTACCGCGAATTTTCTAGCTCGAGCGCCCTCATCCGAAGTACAACGAGGGGGACGTCACGCTCGTATTTCCGGACGGCTCGAGGTTGTCGACGTGGAGAGCACTGCTCGCCTACCACTCTCCCTACATGAGTATGTCTCTCTCTCTCTCTCTCTCTCTCTCTCTCTCTTTCACACGCACCTTCAGAAGAAATGATGCGCGGCGTACAGGAAGATGGCGTCGTCGACGTATCTCCCTTCTCGAGGGCCGACTTTGCCAGCCTCCTCGACTTCATCTACCCCACCCGCATGCCCATCTACAAGGAGTTCAAAGGTACGCTAGCTTACGGTTGCCCAGCAAGTTGAATAGGTCTCGTCCGCGCCGCCAACGCCTTCCAAGTGGAGACGGTGCTGTACGCCTGCTCACGCCATTTTGTCGACCACCCGGATTGGAGCATCGAGAAGAAGATACCGGAAGCGATCCGCATCGAGCTGCTGCCCGCCCTCGAGGAGCTCGTCTACAGGGTAGGGCTTGTGGAGAACAGTATAGGGAACGCCTCATCTTCAGGCCTACCAATCTGGCCTGTGGTCATCGATGATCTCTGCCGGCCTCCAACCGGAAGCGTACTGCGGTGTCGAGCCATATGAGAACGTCGTGTGCCCCACCATCCTCAAGGCCAAGTCGATGGTGTACGGCGAGACCCTCCTCCGCTCCCCTTGGCGCCAACCCCAATTTTTGACGACCCCCAAAACTGACCTCTGGATGTACTATCGGGTTTGTTGATGACGCAGTACTCGGTCGTACCGGTCTCGTTTCAGATTCTGGTAATGGGCACCCCATTCTACGTAAACCGCGGCGTGCTCAAGATCTACGGCACCGACGGCTTCATCGTCGGCCAAACACCCGCCTACCTCGTCGCCCACTGCACCAGCGACTTCATCGACGCGTGCAAGGCGGCCGATGCTACGCCGGGAGAGGTAAGGAAGACACCTTCTTGATCGGCATCTACTCCGTCTGAACACCTTCAGGTCGTCACCTCCCTCTTCACCTGGCTGCACCCCCTCGCCCCGTCGGTCCCATCTCGTCTCCTCCGCCCCGCTCTCCTCTTCGCCCACCACCATCGTATGCAGATTGTCGTCGAGGAGTTGGAGCAGGTCAGGAAACCCTAATGATCTCCTTGAACCACCCCGGTTTCCAGCTGCTAATCCTGGAACCCCCGGAGACCGTCGAGCGCCTGCTGCAGAACTTTGTTCTCGCCGAGGCTCTCCACCTCGACAACCTCCTGCGCACCAACCTGCAGCGCATTGACGGCAGGTTGGTAGATGAACATTGGCTGAATCTGCTCTTTCTTGCAGTTGCCAGGTGATGGCCAACGAGGTGGTGGCGCATCCGCGTTTCGCCAAGCTGTCTCCCGGGCTGCGCCGTCAGATCGTCGACCGCATCTGCTCGGGATGGGGCATCTACAACTACAGCCTCGTCAAGAAGCAGCCCACCCGCCATTGTGTCCGCCACGTTAGCCTCGAGGGTGGAGGGCCACCGGTAAGGGAATGAGGAGCAGAAGCTTAAGCCCAAAGACTAACCTAAGCCTCACACAATCCCACCCTTTTCAGCTTGATGAAGGTGCCGGCTTGGAGACGTTCCACTCGCTGCTGTCCCACTCGATCTTTGGCCCTCGCCACGAGATGTCGACGGTTCGAGGCCCGGCAGCTGCCGTCTAACAAGCCACGCCCCCTCCCCCCTCGCTTGCCGATCCCTTTAAAAAGCTGTGCCGTGCCAATGTGCATTTGTCTATTCGCTTATTCGCTCATTTGTGTCTCATCTACACACCATGCGTGTTCCATTATTGTCTTTTCCATTTGGGGTTTCTGCTGGCCGATTTTAAGTGCGTCGAATAAATGTTCGTTACTGTGAATGGGGAAAGAGAGAGAGAGAGAGAGAGAGAGAGAGAGACCAATCTACCAACGCCCAAAGCACGCGCAAAAGATGACTCCGAAAGCGCGCCATAAATCAACCCAGATTCAGCTACCTTTCCGGCCGTTTAGCCGAAGCGCTGATAAGCTCCCGGCGTCCAAAGGCCACAGAAACGTCAGAATCAACTCGATTGCTGCAGGATAAAGCCGCGAGTAGCAGCGCCAGAATTCGACTAACGCGATTGTTTTGATGATGCAGCGCCTAATTTTATTCTTTTCCCTAACGGGCTTGATTCTGGCTCAGGATGGCTGTAAAAAAGTCGTTAATGCGGATATACTTATCGTCTACGAACAGATATTGCCAATTGATCCAGCCAATGTGAGTTTCTGGTATCGACCAGAATTTGTGCCTAATCCTAAGCCTAACTGTAAAGTGTTTTTACTCAGGCTGGCGTTTTAGAATGGGACGTCTAAATCCCATAATATTCTTCATTTTGCATAATTCGCCCAAACTGCGATGAGAAACACTGAGAAGTGCTCGCTCTCTCCCATTAAATAGGCTATCGCCACTTCCGGCGTATGGTAATTATTTCCTAACAAAGAGGTCGCCCGATTTTTCAACAAAAACTTAATTTTAACCTCGAAAATAGCATAAATTTCAAAATCTGGTATGCGTGCAGTCGTCTCGGTGCCATTACGCACCTAATGACGTATCATACGTAGCTGAAAAACCTTCCCCTCATGAGTTATCTTCCGGACACGGGGACGGAAGTTGCATGCAAATGCACACTGACACACAGACACTATTTTTTTTTATATATAGTAGGATTCGACATTTAGGCTAAAAAAAATTGACTAAATCTGGATTTTTTGCGTTATTTTTTGAGTTTTCGTCACCTCCGACGTTAAAACTGGCTCGGTAATGGTTTTCGAGGGGAAAGCACGATTTTATGCAAAAAATCATGTGTTTTTGTGCAAAAAGCAAAAGAAATGATGCAGGGCGGGGATCGAACCGCCGCCCTGTGCCTGGCAAGCGAACAGCTTACCAATGCACCATGGTGCCAACTGGGAAGGGGGCTTCGGGAGGGTAGATAAGGGGCACAACAATACCTGGAGCCAGACAGGGAATAGTGGGTCAGCATCCGAATTTATGCCGTTTTTAAGCTTCATTTAGACCAAAAATCACTTTTCAACGCGAAGTCCGCAGCAAATTTGGAAAACGGATTCGGAATCAGCAAAAAAATTCTGAACAAGATAGGCTTGGTCCCATCCTAAGACGCCAGCCTGAGTAAAAACACTTTACAGTAAGCCTTGCCCGGGCCCTAAGCCTAAGCTTAAAGGGGCCCAGAAATGCCAAAAATTGAGTGACCGCCTGAAAATCGGAGGCCTGGACGTCGGAGGCCTCTGTAGACCCCGGGGCCCGGGAAGCTCGCAAATTTGAGATAGCCTGTTGTCACCTCGAAATCACGTTCTCGGTTGTTTCTGGGCCAAATTTGATGATTAAAACACCAAAACTATTTAAAATTGAGTGAGGATTTCAAAAATGGGCTCAGAATGCGCAAATTATAGTGTTTTCACAAAGAAACCGGGCAAAAACAGTTTCGCGCAAAAAGCGAAAGAGTGAGGGCTCTCGTCCCGCAGCGCCCGCTGGCAATTTGCCAGAAATCAAAGAGCCCTCCCAAAAGGGCTTTGATTTGGCAGTTCGGAGCCCCTTTAAGCCTTTTTAGGACCTTATGTATTTTGTCGCTGGTGATATATTCGAAGACCAGACGGCATACGATTTCGGTGATACGCCGGTGACCTCTCGGATCCGCGGCGTGGGTTTTCCATTATTTTTCGCAATCTCTTATAGTTAATGTACCCTCAAAACATCAGCACGCGTGTCTTTGAAGCCAATATCGGGCTCGGCGGATTTGTCGAGGCGATATTTGATAATGATGAGGAGGCATGGGGAGACCCACAAAGCTCAGCGGATATCTCTGTGTAAGGTCATGTTTGCAAGGGATGGCGACAGCCAAGAAACGGTGCTTACAGCTGTATTAGAGGGATTTACCTAACAGGGAATTTATAATTAATTTTTAGGGTGCTCTCCGAAGTGGAAAACCGGTTTGACGACACGAATGGAAGGAATCGAGTGGTGATCCTGATCGGAACTGAGTAAAACTCTTTTTTTGCTTGAAGACATCTTTAGTGACCACTCTGTCAATAGCAGTATGGCGTTGTCGAAATCGCTACAAGTGGGTTTAATTTATAGCTTTTAACGCCGCTTCTTACACCTTTTAGGCCTTAAATTTTTTTGGCTTCGACTTGTATTCGTCGTTTGTAGCCTATAGCCCGCAATTCCAGGACAAGGGCATCTTCATCATGACCGTCTCTTTCTACAACAGCAGCCTCGGGGCATTGGCCTCACCCGGAGCCACATTTTCCATATCTGATGGCGACTACAGCAAACTGCCCGCACCGATTGCCCAGCTTCTTGGTAACATTTCTACGATTCACGTGATAGTTTTAGTGTCCAAATTTGGAGTATGCGCTCCCGACGGGAAAACGACGGTCCCGCCGCCGACACCAGTGAATACCGCACCGCCACTACCTACTTGTGCGCCTGGGACGCCGATTGGGAGGAGTGTGGCTCTCGTTTGGGATATATCCTTCGACAATAATGGCAGTGATTTGAATCAATTGGTATGTGAGCAGATCGTACTCTCTCTCTCTCACTCTCTCTCTCTCTCGCTCTCTCAATCTCCCTATCCCGCTCTCTATCTCACTCCCTATCGCTCTTTCTCGCGCTCTCTCTTGCTCTCATTCGCTCTCTCTCTCTCTCTCTCTCTCGTTTTTTCTCTCTCGTTCTCTCTCTCGTTCTCTCTCTCGCTCTCTCTCTCTCTCATCCACATCAACATTTTTAGGCAGTAGTAACCCTCCTAACCCTCCTCGTGAAGCAACCCGAATGGCAGAACGTCTCCTTCTCCCTCATCCCATTTCCAGATCCAAAATCATTCCCAGACAACTCCATCGACTACCAATACAGGCCCAGCCTTCCCTTCCGAATCCCCTTAAACCCGATTCCAGAACCCCCTTCGGCAGCCTAGCCAAAATGGTCTTCCTGGAGCGCACCAGCATCTCGGGACCGAACAATATTTCCGATATGGCAAGGTGAGGCGTGAAAAAATGCCCTGTCGAAAATTGTGTTTTCAGCGGCCTCTCCCTCCTTGACTACACCCCGCCCAAAACGGCTACTATCCCGACCGTTTTATTGTTTTCTAGCAGGTTTGTGACGTCGATAAATGCAGAAAATAAATGATAATGCCTAGGGATGATCTGGTCCCAAAAGCAGAAGCCGAGGCGGACCGGTTATATGATTGCTATGGATACGACTTTTTTACAGGTTTGAGACGAGGTTTTTTGCACTTGTATCGGTTTTAAATGGGCTGGAAAGCGCAAAAAGCTGTAGTCGACTAGGCGTCGAGAGTTCTATGGACCTAAGCCTAAGCCAAGCCTGATCCTAAGCCTAAGCATATGTCTAAGAGATTCTAAGCCTTTCTAGGATACATTTCATTACAGTGTCCATCGGCTCAAAGCTCAACTTCGGCTCAATCCCCTCCCAACCCGAATACCAGTTCCTCCTCGACGGCAGCTTTGCGCCTGGAAATTTTGTCGAAGTCGCCAATCAAATCACGAAAGCCATGGCATATTGCCCGCCAAGTGTTTCGACACGGAGGGCACGAGATCCGGAACACTGTAATTGATAGATGCAACAAAAATAAATGTAACCAGGGTTGAAAATCCGCTTCGCGACTTTTCAACCCTGGCCTTTCTTCGGGGTCCTTTGATACACGGGCACTTTGCATATTATAATTTGCATTAATTTTACGAATTACGTTAGGGATAGGCACACCACAGGAATTAATTGAGCAACCGACTCGAAACCCAGCAAAGCCTAGAATGAGCCGAATTAATCCTCGTATGCAAATTAGTCTATTTCCATATGTTTTTAAATCGCTAAAATAAGGTATAAAACGTCATTTTAGTTAAAATCTGATAAGCGCGCAGTAATCTACGCCTTCGATTACCCCTAACCACTTTACTCCTGAACCATAAAATCCTCTTTCCTTCGAGTTATGGCTGGAACCCGGGTTTTTATGCAAAGTGTCCACACACACACACAGAAACTATTTTTTTATATATAGTAGGATTTCCCACGTGAAAACTCTTATTATTGGCGGAATGCGGGAAAATCGATCGATTCTATGCGGGCATTTTTTTGTCGGTATTCCGGTTGTCGCAGTTTCTATCGACATCACTGCCAACAAAGCCGGCGCGGCGGCTTCCGATTTGTTCCGAAGGTCTCATCCCCTATCAGAACGTTGTGGCTTTCTCTTTTCCGCTATTCTTCCCCTTTTTCGAGACGGGTGATAAGCTGGCTTGTCGTTTTCCTAAGAAACCCGGCTTACACGGGACTCAATCGTTAATTTACACCCTCGAAAAAATGGCTGGCAGCATTCGGAAGCTGCAAATATTCTCGTTTCTGGTGCTTATTCTTGGGATTGCGATCGGGGCCGCTGGCATTGTGGTGGCCATTGTATTTGGGACAAGGTGTAGGTTAGAAAAATTAATTTTAAATTAGAGAGAGAGACGGAGCGAGAGAGAGAGAGAGAGAGAGAGAGAGACAGAGAGAAAGAGCGAGAGAGCGACTCTACTAGTTTTTAGCCTGTAATTGCGATTCCACGAATGCAACCACGCCACAATCCCCTGTCACTTGCAGCACAAAAATTTTCAGGTTTTTGTAATTTGCTTATTTCTCTTATATATTTTGAAATTGCAATGAATTAAAGGGGCTCCGAACTGCCAAATGCCAGCGGGCGCTGCGGGACGAGAGCCCTCACTCTTTCGATTTTTGCGCGAAGTTGTTTTTGCCCGGTTTCTTTGTGAAAACACTATAATTCGCGCATTCTGAGCCCATTTTTGAAATCCTCACTCAATTTTAAATAGTTTTGGTGTTTTAATCATCAAATTTGGCCCAGAAACAGCCGTGAACGTGATTTCGAGGTGACAACAGGCAATTTCAAATTTTGCGAGCTTCCCGGTCCCTGGGCGTACAGAGGGCTCCGACGTACAGCGCTCCGATTTTCAGGCCATTACTCAATTTTTGGCATTTCGTAGCCCCTTTAAGATATCTAAAACCCAAAAAAATACAAAAATCCACTTTCAGCCTTCGCTCGCCCGTGAAAATTAACTGGGACCCGAAGCTTTTAGACCCAACTAGTGCCCTTTATAAAGCCAAAAGAGCAGAGGTAATACAATCGGTAAGCGGATACTGTAGAAAAAGACGCGATTTAGTTTATGGATTCCCTGATAAACTCGAAAAGCCATACTTCTCTATCTATGCTAATCACTTATACGCTTGACGTGAATTTATTCGAGTAAGTCGAAGGGTAGCATACAATTCTTCACTTCAGCACTTCACATCACTATTTTCCATAGTAAAATTCGGCGCTTCCAAGGCCCTTTAAAACGCCAAACTGTGAATTTAAGACCAGATCCCTCCTCGAAGACGTCGGCGTATGTCTATGCATCGGCTGCGGCTAGTGGAGCTATGGATTTGGGCCTGATTCCTGATTCGAGCGCCTTGGCGGATAGGATTAGCAAGGCTTCGATTGCCGCCGGAGCTTCTGATGTTAATAGTAGGCTGAAAAAATTGATTAAATTAGCTTCCTGGTACCTTTAATTTAATTTGATGATTTTTATGGGAGTAATTTTTCTAAAATTCACTTTATAAATAAGGGATTTGTTTGGATTTGCCGCTTTTGCAGATAACACCCTCCAATTTTGCAAGGAGCCAATTGTGCCTGGCGTTTCGACGGCAACATCCCCGCCCGTGGTATGTCCAACAAGTCCAAGCAGTACACCACCGACTACCATCCACATGCCAGAAAATTCGAGCGCCGCCTCGACGTCTCATTCTCCGACTAAAACGCCGGTTACGACGTCGAGTTCTTCCAAAGCGACGGCGAGTGCGACGAGTTCAAGTAGCCCAGCGTCTTCTACGAGTTCACGGAGCCCGGCGAGTCCAAGCAGTCCCACCACTACAACCAAACCAACGGCTGCACCCAGTTCAACCAGTGCCCAGCCCTGCGTGATCAACGCCGACATTGTGCTCGCTTATGAGCAAGCTTTTTACGAAGCTGATGCGCTGAGGATGTTGAACTACATCCTAGGCGGACTTTTCGCGTCTCCGTATTATCGATTTGGAGGGGAAACCCGTATGGTTACGGTGCCATATCCATATGATGAAGCCCTATCGAAGATGGACGACAATTTGGGATGGGACGGATTAAAGGTAGGATAGAAGTTCTGTCGCCATCCCTTTGAAAATCTGTGACGAGCGGCCGCGTTGCGGGCCTCGTCTTTTTGATACTGCGACGCGCCCGATGGCACACTAATATCGTCCTCCAATCCTTTTTAAGGACCTGATGATCACCGCCAACCGTACAATCTGGCCAAGCCGACCCGCCGACCCCTACCTACCGACAACAATCTTCACAGCCGACCACGAGTTCGAGCAGTCGTCCCTCAACCGCAACAGGGTCATCTTCTTCTTTGGGAAGGAAGACGACACGGTGAAGTACGCAGAAGGGTATGCGGATGTTGTCAAGGAGGAAGGGACCCGGATACTGACGCTCTCTACTCTTAAGGCCGATTTGGGCCCATTGGCCTCGCCGGGGTGGTCGTTTTACATCGAGGATCCGGATATGGCGGGAAATATGAGTGATGTGATTGCTGATGCGTTGCTGGGGGCTTTTAGTAGTTGCCAAGGTAAGGTAGAGGATCTCTATCTCATCTCTCTTTCTCTCGCTCTTTATCTCTCTATCTTACCCTTTCGCTCGCTTGTGCTATTTATCTTCTTATTTCAGCCCCAACATCAACCCAACTCCCGCCAACCAGCTCTCCCTGCACCCTTTTCATTAACGCCGACATCATCATGCTCATCGAAATGAACTTCCCGATCTCCCAATCAAACGTGCTTCTCGAGGGTGCAGAAGACATCTTCACCACCGCCCCGAATAATTACCAATTCGGAGGGAAGACTCGGGTTGCGGGGCTGGCCTATCCGAGCCTAGACTCCACTGATCCGCTAGCAGAAAATCTTGGGTTGGACACCTTTGTAGCGGAAATGCAAGCCATTAATGCATCTATATGGGACGTGGGGCTCGGTGCGACTGATTTAAGCGCGTAAGTCTTGCTCTCTCTCTCTCACTCTCACTCTCTCTATTATTTTTCATCACTTTCAGGGCCCTCACCGCCGTCGAAGGAGCTTTCCCAGACCCGACCCGAAATCGTGTCCTCATCATCGTCGGCAAAAAGTGAGTTTTAAAAAAACCGAAGAACCCTGAAATATCTTTAGCTACACCACAGTAGCCTCCGCCGCACCCATCGCCGACCAATTCAAAGCCGGGGGCATGGCGGTAATCACGGCCTCCTACGATAGCAACGGGTTGAAGCCGCTCGCTACTCCGGGGCTCGACTTCGAATTCGATACGCTATTTGCGTATTTGATACCCGGGGAAGTGAACGAGGCTTTAGGTAAGATATTACCAAAAATGGGAAGCTAGATCGGGCTTAAGAGTGTTCCCCGACCATTTCACTTAGGTGAGGCTTAGGCTTAGGCCTAGACTTAGGCTTAGGCTTAGGCTTAGGCTTAGAATTAGGCTTAGAATTAGGCTTAGAATTAGGCTTAGGCTTAGACTTCGGCGTGTCCTTAAGCTTAAGCTTGGCTACCGTTTGATTCGTTACAAATATTTTCAGTGAAGCGTTTCCCATCCTGCAAAACTCAGCCGGTGCCATGATCTCAGGAATGTTGTTTGTACTTTCTTCTTTAGTAATTGTTGAAAAAGATAAAGAATAAATTCTCTTTTATCCTTGCATAGCTACCTTTATCAAGGTTTTTCCGCTTTGATCAGTGTATCGACCGGAATTTCCATCGCCTCTGCATACTGGCGCATTTCGGTGAGTTCCTCTGCAGTCATGGGAGGGATTTCAATGTGTTGGAGGGCTTCCTGAAATTTGTGGAGATGTTTTGATCTCACTCTCTCTCTCTCTCTCTCTCTCTCTCTCTCTCTCTTCTCTCTCTCTCTCTCTCGCTCTCTCACCTACCTTGCTGAGGAACGTCCCCTTCTGCGAGTCCTCCCCCTTCCACTTCATCGCCTCCAACGCCGTCTCCTCCGGGATCCCGATCTAAAAATGTAGTTAAATTTTGTAGTTTGTAGTTTTCCACATTTCTAAAAATCTCCCGCAGCAGCTGCTCAGTGTTGTGGATGAGGTCGTGGAACCAAATGCAGGGCATCAGGAAGCGGGACTCGTTTTTGAGGTAGTGGCTGTACGGGGAGGCATAGACGATGGCAGCGCGCTTCTAAAAAAACGTGCCTCGAAGCATGAGCCAAACCCAAACCCACCTTATCCGTATCCGGCTTCAACATCCGATTAAACGCCCCCTCGTACCCGGCCAAATACCCGAAAATCCACAGTGTCAACCGGGGAAGGTACAAATGGAGTGTGGTCAATACATCCCCAATCTCTTCCCGTTTCAGCATCCGCTCACACGAATCAATGCCGTCTTTCCGGAACGAGAAGATGTTACGGAACTGCGGGATGTTGTCGGTGAACTCCACGAGGCGGACGCCTGAAAAAAAAGAGGTAGCGAAGGAGCAAAACGAGAGAGAGAGAGGAGCGAGAGAGAGAGAGAGAAAGAGAGAGAGAGAGAGAGAGAGAGAGAGCGAGAAAGAGAGAGAAAGCAGCCACTTTTTACGTACCCGAGGATTCGGCCTTCAGAATAAACACTTGGTCAGCAGGTACGTCTTTGCGAAGTATCGTAATTACACGCGGTAGCAAGGAGGTGACATCCTGAAGAGGTTTATATTTTTAGAGCATAGAATTGCAAGAATTCCATTTTGGTAGCTAAAAGCATGTTCCAACCACGTCAAAAACCCGTAGTTTTTTCAACTCTAAAATGCCCACGATTACAGGGTACCCCTAACAACGCTCTAATTTCTCTTTCTCACCTCTTTAGTCAAATACCCTTCCGCATATCCGATGGTCAGACAAGGAATTGGGTACGGCTCGGCGACGCAGTGCGATTTTCCTTCATTGTGAAGCATCTTGGCAAGCAGCGTACTTCCACATCTGAATAAAAAAATGACAATCGCTCTCTCGCTCTCTCTCTCTCTCTCTCTCTCTCTCTCTCTCTCACTCTCTCTCACTCTCTACCTCACTCTCTCTCTCTCTCTCTTTTAGTCTCTCTCTCCTACCTAGCCGTATTCGTGTAGAAGATCGTGTCAGCTTGCGGCCGATCAGCCAACTCATCAGCAAGCTTTTCAAACTCTTCCCTAGGCGCCTCGGCTACGAGCAGTGCCTGAATTACATAATTAACATTTGCTTCCCTTTCCAAACATACCTCTTTGAAATAATCCACATACACAAATGGACATCGCTGGGAATTGTACCATAACACCGGTTTTGGCAAATACACAAAGTAAGCCGTGTTCTGGAATCAAGCTAGCACTTTTAAAGGGACAAGAAATGCAGGTAATCTAGCCAAGAGCTTTTGGGAAGCTTAGATACCTTAGTGAGACAATATAGCGTCCAGTGACTGCCGTCTAATAGGCTCGTCGGTACAAAAGAGTTGTGGACACTGAGAAAATCCATGCCACGCGCGATTTCTTCGACATCGCGTTTTCTGAAAGGTATTTAGGATGCAAGCCTAAGCCTAACTTAGGCCCAAGTCTAAGCCTAAACCTAAGGCTAAGCCTAAGCCTGAGCCTAAGTCTAGCCTAAGCCTAGGCCGAAGCCTGAGCCCAAGCCTAAGCCTATGCCTATGCTTACGCAAAAACTTCATCATTCCCTTACTTTCTATGTACAATTGAGCACAATCTAACATGTCCCTCCGGGATCCGATCGATCCTCAACAGCGTCCTATAGATTTTCTGCAGTGCAAAAATGGCTTGCACCGCAAAGAAGTAGACGACCCACAGTTGCAGCTCGAGAAACTTGTGAACTCGTCCCATTTCTGCAACATTTTTGGAACAATTTAGCCGTGGAATTAGAATCCAGAAAAGTCTAAGCGTAAGAAAAAGCAAAAAGTAGACATATAAGGAGAGGAATAATAAAAAATAGATTGGTATGCCGATATTTGAAGTGAGGCCAGGTTGACTATAAATGCCCCGAGGGGATGTCAATGACTAGTCAGCACTAGCAGGGGCCGGGGTTAGCCCCGGGCAGCATTTGCATCATCAATCGGATGGGGAGTGGAACTGGACTGATGGAAAGTGTATAGTTTGTGACGGGAAACTCTCTCTCTCTCTCTCTCTCTCTCTCTCTCTCTCTCTCTCTCTCTCTCGCTAGCTCTTTTTGACTTTTTAAACTTTAAAGGCAGTCGGAAAGACTCTAAATTTGGTCTATAAAAACTAGGAAATTAATGGCCTCAAATGGATATTCAGCACATTCACCAATTCAGTTGAAATTAAAGTTTAAAATGAAAAATTATGTTAAAAAATATGCTTTTCAATGCGGCGCTGATAGCATGGCCCGGAAAATGACCTTGTTCGGTCGGGTAGGATCGGGAAAAGTGCAGCAGTGCCCCCGGAAAGAACTATTTTGGGCACGGGATCGATTTATCGCCGGTCAAAAGCCCCGGGAAATGGTTGCTGTCTGGAAAGGTTTAGCATATAGTCTAAAAACTGCACGGAATAGCGGGGCGCTTCCACATAAATCCCCGCTAGCTTGCCCTCCTATGAAGCTAAGTTTCGAAAAATCCATGCTAACTTGCGTTCGCAGAGAAAGAGAGGGGTGAGAGAGAGAGAGAGAGAGAGAGAGAGAGAGAGAACGCTACCTCAATAACATTACCAAAAAATACAGTTTATTTCCAACAATTCCCCGCCGCTCCAAAGATCACCCGATTTTCCGTACCTCCGATCCCCCAAACAACCCTTCCACCTAGAAGCCAAATATGATTTTAATTTTTTAATAGACTCCCAAAGGTGCTGACGGGCTTCTGAAAAGCGTCAGAACAGCCTCCACTCGGGATCCCAGCCAAAATATGAAGCCTTAGAGGGCTAACTTGAAACCTTTCGGTGGTCTAGCCGACCAGACTAATTTCTCTTTGGCTGGATTTTGGTTTGGGAGAGTACAGCGAAAAAGGTGATGCCAGTTTTTGGTGAGGATTCGGAAGAAATCCTAAAATCGTTGAGATCTAGCCTTGAATAGGCTGAGGCTTTGCTTAGGTTTTGGCTTGGGTTTTGGCTTAGGTTTAGGCTGAAGCTTGGCTAGTTTAAGGGAGGAGGGAGTCTAAGGCTTAAAGAGAGAGAGAGAGAGAGAGAGAGAGAGCGAGAAAGAAAGACAGAAACAAGGAGATGAAAAGGATCCTCAAAAATTTTCATGCGTTGCTGATACCCCTTTATAATAGTAACCAGATGGTTACAGTCGCTTCGCGACTGCAACCATCTGGGCTTCGGGCTACCCTACATGTCCCACTCTACCACATCCTTTCCCACCTCCATCAATACCCCCCATAGCCGAAATCCCGTTCAAAAACTACCTAGATACCTTCCTGATGGCTTCAGATACCCCCCATGGCTGAAATCCCCTTCAAAAAACTACCTAGATACCTTCCTGATGGCTTCAGATACCCCCCCATGGCTGAAATCCCCTTCAAAAACTACCTAGATACCTTCCTGATGGCTTCAGATACCCCCCATGGCTGAAATCCCCTTCAAAAACTACCTAGATACCTTCCTGATGGCTTCAGATACCCCCATGGCTGAAATCCCTTCAAAAACTACCTAAATACCTTCCTGATGGCTTCAGATACCCCCCATGGCTGAAATCCCCTTCAAAAACTACCTAGATACCTTCCTGATGGCTTCAGATACCCCCCATGGCTGAAATCCCCTTCAAAAACTACCTAAATACCTTCCTGATGGCTACAGATACCCCCCATGGCTGAAATCCCCTTCAAAAACTACCTAAATACCTTCCTGATGGCTACAGATACCCCCCATGGCTGAAATCCCCTTCAAAAACTACCTAAATACCTTCCTGATGGCTACAGATACCCCCATGGCTGAAATCCCCTTCAAAAACTACCTAAATACCTTCCTGATGGCTACAGATACCCCCCCATGGCTGAAATCCCTTCAAAAACTCCCTAAATACCTTCCTGATGGCTTCAGATACCCCCCATGGCTGAAATCCCTTCAAAAACTACCTAAATACCTTCCTGATGGCTACAGATACCCCCCCATGGCTGAAATCCCCTTCAAAAACTACCTAAATACCTTCCTGATGGCTACAGATACCCCCCATGGCTGAAATCCCCTTCAAAAACTACCTAAATACCTTCCTGATGGCTACAGATACCCCCATGGCTGAAATCCCTTCAAAAACTACCTAAATACCTTCCTGATGGCTACAGATACCCCCCATGGCTGAAATCCCCTTCAAAAACTACCTAAATACCTTCCTGATGGCTTTAGATACCTCCCCTAGCCAAAATCCCGTTTAAAAAACGAAACTAACGACCGACCGGATGGAATTAGAGAAAAAAAGAAATGAAATCCCCCGTGAAAATTTTCATCCACGAAACGCGCGCGACCTGGCTCACTATGTCCAAAATCAGCCCAACCTCCGTCCCCCACCCTTTTACTAAGGAGAAAACTTTCAAAGTTAATTTTAATAAGTTAAACTAAAACTTTTTCATAATTTTTTTATCAGTTTAGGGGTTTCTGAGGGCGCTCTATCCGAATCCGAAGAGAGCTAAGCTCTAGCTCCTTTCCCCTTCGAGTTGAATTCGGCTTCACACAGACGGACGGACGGACAGACGCGTCAAGAAAATTATTATAGTTGATATTTCCCTCCGAAACCTGCCCTTCTTTATAGTTCCCCGTTCAACTCCGTGCAATAATTAAGGACGGCCCGTCGGGAAATTGGAGATCAACTTTTTTTAGCGTAGGCGCTGGTTTCGGGGGAGATTTGGGCACGGCAAATTAAATGACCGCATTTCCGCGCCAACGGGGGTTCAGGAATAATCCGGATTTCGGGTATGTTGCATTGAATTCTCATCAGATAGCTCATACATAATCCCCTAGAGGCGGCGTTGAATGGCCATATAGTGGGAGCTCGATTTATTAGGATCGGGGGGGTACTGTAATCCGAGAAAGGCGAATTTGCATAGTTTCTTGGGGAAGAATAAGAATTTAGTTTTTTTAATTTCGTTTTCGGATCATAGCAGTTGTTTGAGGAAGAGCGAGAGAGAGAGAGGGAGAGAACGAGAGCGAGAGCGAGCCTGCGAGAGAGTGACAGCGAGACACAGAGTCAGAGAGAGAAAAATAGACGGAGCACGCTTCTATGTTGCATTTTGGGATTCTGCCTGTTGAGATCGTATATGTCGTGATTTTGCCGTTTTTCCGGAATAGCAAGCTGGCGGAGATTCTGGAGGAACTGCTCCGACGAGACGACGTTCTGCGTTGTCGCTCTCCCCATCTCTCTCTCTCTCTCTCTCTCTCTCTCTCTCTCTCTCTCTTTTCTGATTTCAAGACTTAAAACATTGCAGCTTTCCAGGATCTCTGTCTCCCATTCTTGATTCAGCTTCCATATATCCATTTTTCATCACCCGTGTTTTGCCCCATTTTGGCGAGAAGCCAATGCCCTCATGAGTTGCAACTACTCCCTCTCCCATCATTCTAATAATAATAAATGAGTTGCAGAGAATGGCATCACACCTCCAAATAGAGAACACAAACATTCCGGGGCTGCTTATATTCTTATTTATCTGGGGCTAGACTCCATTCCAAGGAATGCCCTGAAAATGGGGCTCCAAATAAAAAGGTGTACGACCTGGATGATGAGATGTCCGAAAAGCAAAGGAATTTTTCCAGTTAAAAGGGGGTGTAAGGAGGAGCTGGAGGGAGGAGGTATTAGTTATGCAACTCACTTCCTCATTCATTCAGGGGGTTCTTCCAGAGATAGATGAGTTGACTAGCCACATCATTTCGTTCCTGATCTGCGGGGAGGTCCACGAAATAGGTGATAAAAAACAGGAGGAAGCGGTTCCGCCTTTTCATAGTGAAAGGGACAGGATGGGTCCTTTATCCTTACCACGGCA